CTCGGGAACTGGGTCGACCTCGATACATACGCACATGTCCGGAAACTAGCCTGAATACAAGGTGGCCATCCTATTTATAACTTCCCCTACCCCATGATAGGAAACAATATTTATAGTTTTAAACATTACTGAAAATCCTCATATTTATTTAATTACATTTAACTTCATTTCATTTCACGTACCACCGACTCCTGTCGATCGACCTCTCTGATAAATAGTTCTCCCCAAAAAAATATAGAAAATTGATAAGAGGGTTCTAAGGGAAGATCCAAGGATAAGAGAAAAGGGAGTCGTCGGGAATTCTTGCAGAAAAACGGAAATAAGACGTCGCAGGACGTCCCTCGGGGTTCGTTCTCGGCGAAGTGATCGATTTCGGCCGATAGATGTGAATCGAAGCGAGGAGAGTTTCACGGGTTAATCCCCCCCTTAAAACCCCCCATGGGATCCGCGAAAGGGACTGCACTGAAAAACTGACATTCACGCAAGAGCGAGCTCGAAAACGCACCCCTCCTCCTGCGGAAACGCAACCGAGACTGGCGAGTTACGCAATCCGCACCCCGCAATTCTAAATGCCCGCCATTGTTCCCTGGACCGAGCGGCCACTTTGATGTCACTTTCAGCAAGCCTTAATCGAGGAGACTGCGAAGATGGACCCCCCATGAAGGTCGTCGCCGCTCGGTATCGATCGTTTGATCAGTCGATCCCGATCGCCGATCGATGCCCTCGTTTCTGAAATCAGACCCCCCTCGAAGAGTGCCAAACAATCGCATTGGGGTATCGATGGTCATGCATCGATGATCGGTAGGTATCGATGATCCAGTTGATCGGATTGCCAATCGATGCATCGATTCCTTATTTGTTATCACCCATTAATGCATCGATTCCTGATTATTCATCGGTGTACTAATTCTTGATCACCCGTCGATGCATTTATTCCTGATTATTCATCGATGCATTTATTCCTGATTATTCATCGATGCATTTATTCCTGATTATTCATCGATGCACTAATTCTTGATCACCCATCGATAAATCAAATGTTGATTAGAAATATGATTTAATGACTGGTCTTTACCTTGATTTTCGATCATTCGTTGCACAAAATCTTGAATATTCATCGAGGCTCCAGTTTTTATCGATGAAATTCCTGATTATTCATCGACATTACAGCTTTTATCGATGAAATTCCTGATGATTCATCGATGCTCCAGTTTTTATCGATGAAATTCCTGACTATTTATCGATGCTCCTGTTTTTATCGATGAAATTCCTGATTATTAATCGATGCTCCAGTTTTTATCGATGAAATTCCAGATTATTCATCGATGCTCCAGCTTTTATCGATGAAATTCTTGATTATTAATCAATGCTCCTGTTTTTATCGATGAAATTCTTGACTATTTATCGATGCTCCAGTTTCTATCGATGAAATTCCTGATTATTCATCGATTCTCCCGTTTTTATCGATGAAATTCCTGATTATTCATCGATGTACTAATTTTTTATCACTCATCGATAAGTCAACTGACGATTAGAAATGTGATCTGATGACTAGTCTTTACCCTGACTTTCGATTATTCGTTGCACAAAATCTCGACTATTCATCGAGGCTCCAGTTTTTATCGATGAAATCGCCGATCACGTCCCGACTTCGATTCCGAATGTATCACTCCATTTCTCTTCGGGGTCGACCTCTTCGGTTTCCATGGATCGTGAAGGCTGCTCGACAAGGTCCCTCGTCCCTCTTTCGTGGTCTGCAACGAGGCAATGACGACCGATCATCGATTCCACGTGCGACTTCCGGTCGCGGCCGTATCGAAGGCCACGCAATTTCCAGCCTGTCGGCGAGATCAAAAGGCGCGGCCTCGGGCGAAGGTCAAGGCCACTGCGGCCTGATAACGCGGAATTATCTGACCGGATCGCGATTCCCGATCGCACCTGTAGAATCCAGCCCGAAAGGAATTAATTCCGCCTCTTTCATTAAAGGTCAATCATTTTTTTCCCATGCAAATTTTTCCAACGTTTAAATATAAATTTATGAACAGTCGACTTCTTGGACTGAAATTTCCTGTGGTAATACCAAATATAAAAATGCATTTGGAGGAAAAAAAAGAAAATTTCAGGGTCTACGTATCCATGGACTATTTCGAAGAGTTCCACCCTCGTGTTAAATAAATGATTGATGCTTTTGCGCTTTGTTATTTTAAATTAATTCTCGGGGATGAAAGATGGGAGATCTGGTTCCTTCTTTCCGGGGATAAGAATTTCTCAAATGGTTCCGAAACCGAGGTCGTATCAGGGCTCGTAATCGGGTCAGAGGGTGTCGGTGTCAATGCACCCGATGCAGTTTTCTCGCCCACCAGTTTTGGTCCAGCCCCTCTTCTCGGGGATGCTGAACGAGGACACGCCGCAGCTTCTGCCGCAGTAGCTTCAGAATGTTTCTCCAGAATCTCGGGAAATGACCCCTCGGTGGCTTCTCGACCTGCATCAAAGGGATCCTTATCAATCCCAAGTGGCCTGATTATTTTTTCTCAGAGATTATCTCGCCGATCCTTTTAATAGGCCGCGCGAAATATGATTAATCAACCATCCCTAAGCGTGTAAATAAATCCCAAGAAAAGTATCCAACTCGAAGGTGCCTCATTATCAGTAAAATAATAATCTGTGATCCTAAAAATAATTATTTCCAATATTATCCCATAACTTGTAAATACATACCATGCGAAATGTCCGACTCCACGGTGCCCTATTGTCAGAAAGAGAAAAATTATCTTTGTAATCATTACTTTTAGGGAAGGGGTTAAAAGATCATTCTCAAATCGACTCCTTCTCCATAGCATGAAAAACGTTTATTTGAAACGTAGAACAAGTCTACATGGATAATATATAAAACATCCAGACCTGAGTAATCGTCTCGACACGCGTACTCGTGTGCATCGGGCGATGCACCTCGCTCGCCGAATATTTTTTTCATTTTTTATTTATCTCTTTTTTTTTGTCAGTAAGTAGTACCATTCAATCACACAGGGATTCGCTACAAGGCACTAGATGGATCGCACAGACAACCTGCGATAAAATTCGTACGCGATTAATTGCACCCTCCGTTGCACCCCTGCACCTGTTCTCGGCAGAGAGTGCAACGTCGGGGGTAACTCCAAATGACGGGAAATTGACGGTGTTACATCGACAATTGGTGTTGATCGTATCGATCCCGGAGAGCTTGTACTCCTATTATTAAATTTCCTTTTTTTTTTTTTCCTTATAAATATCGAGGGGAAAAATAACTGCCAGATATAAAGACACCCAAGGACTAAGAATGCCCTGGAAATTCATCCATAGGAGGTTCACCCTGATAAGAGTATCACCTCGGTGATAACCAGTCGCTTGGTGTCAAGCTACTTTTATCGCTATTTTTTCATAATTAATTCATTACTCGGACCTAAGAGTGACATTAAAGTGCGATCCTTGGAAAGGACGGGACGAAAGCTTGGTTTATTGTTATCACCAGTCGGCGCGGATATGGAGTGATAAGAGTCATTTTCCCTCGGATAGGTAATTGACGTTTTGGACGTCGAAGAGATTCTAGGGTCTTGTACATTTTTTTCTTTTTTTTTTTTCAAGATCCTGAGTCTCTATTACGACGCGACTGATATGAATGCAGCTCCGAGTGGGCCGCGTGATAACGATCTTGATCATCGTCGATCGATCTCCGATCGATCGAACCTCCGAAAAGCCGCGCGATAACCGTGATAACAATAAACTCCGATGCCCAAATTTCGGCGTCCCGAGACTTATGCACGTAAAAAAATCCTAAGGATCAATCGGCGTCTTGCCGATCGGTGATCGATCACCAATCGATCGAACCTCCAGAGTGCCGCATGGTAACCACGATAACAATAAATCCGGCGCTCGAATTTCGCCTTATGGGCGTAAAAAAATTCTAGGCACCAATCAGCGCCTCGAGAGACGTCCGATCGAACGTCGATCACTGATCGATCGGCGCTAAATTCCTCGTCACCTAATATCTTAGTGTCGTAGAAAGGTCTTGCAAAAAATTTAGAAAGTACGTTCCCTCTGGGCCGACCTTAACAATTAACAATATCCGACGATTACATTATCCACTACACAAGAAAGGGGTGAGATCAGTGGGTGGGGGGTTGTTCAGAGAGAGAAAGATGACATGACATGTCATTTAATAAATGCAAGTGAGAGCAGAGATAGAAATTTCTCTCCCCATTCTCTCTGTCCATCCCTCAGGACCCACCGATCTCGCGACTCCTGGTTTCCCTAGGCCTATTCCCTAGGCCTCGGTCTGGGGATTCGCATCGAGACGAAGTACCTAGAATATCAGGGATGACATTATACGATTACCTCCCAGGACCCGGGTCCTGGGAGTCTTACATCGAGAGTCCTTTCGGGGCTCCGGCTCTTGCGGCCCCTTGGTCCTGTTTCCTCAGGATCTTGGGACCCATGGAACCCCATAAGGCTTTGTCGAGTCTATGGGTGTTCCTAACTTCTTGGATTCTCTGCGGCAGGGGTCCTTGGAGGTCCTCGAAGAGTTCCTTGGAGATCCTTGGTATTCCTTGCAGTTCCTTGCGGCTCTTTGGAATTTCTTGGAATTCCTTGCAGCTCCTTGCAGTTCCTTGCAGTTCCTTGTAGTTCCTTGCAGCTCCTTGCAGCTTCTTGCAGCTTCTTGCAGCTCCTTGCAGCTCCTTGCAGCTCCTTGCAGCTCCTTGCAGCTCCTTGCAGTTCCCTGCAGTTCCTTGCAGCTCCATCCATCTCCTTTCTGCTCCTTGCAGGTCGTTTCAGGTCCTTGCAGCTCCTCGCAGCTCATTCCAGCCTATTTAAGGTCTTCGAAGTTCCTTCGATCACCTCCCACCTAGCAGTTTCCTTCACCATTTTCTTCTCCTCCCAGCATCCTCGTCTCTCCCTCTCGAAAAGATCTCAGGCGCCCTTAGATCAGTCCCCAAGGCTCCCTACCGGAACCGGGTCCATTCGTCCTATCGATAAAGCCCGACGGAGTCCTGGCAAGCCTTGGGCATGGCGATCTGCTGAGCGGCACTTCTAGGCACCCGCTGGGTCGGCAGACCGGAAAGACCCCTCACATACGTATAGGACACCGGGCTCCTGAGGATGCTCTTCTTGGCGTGTTTTTTCCCCTTGGCCTCCCACTTGGAGGAGATCTTCAGGCTCTGAAACACCCTGCGGAGGGTCTCCGTGGTGGAGGGCCTCTTCAGGGAATCGCTGTCGTTGCTGCTGTGCGCGTCCGAAGGACTCGGGGAATGGGATGGCGACTCCACTCTGGGGGTTGCCCTGGCGTCACCAGGACTCCACGACCTGGAAGACTTTGCTCTGGACCGCTCCCCATTTCTCGGCGTCCTGGACAGCCTCTCCTGCGACCTCGTCGTCGTTGGTCGATCTCGAAGACGGTCCAGATAGCAATGACCTCGTGGAGATCTACCACCTCCGCAGAGCCGTTCACCACTTCCTCGACGAGATAATCTCTCTGCGCTTCCCGTGCTACCTCCACTGCTGCACCCGCTGTCGGTGCTGCACTCGTCGTCCCCGAATTCCGTTCCTCGACGATGGTCTCGTCGGTGCTGATCAGAAGATTTGGTGGACTCCTCCATGGTTGAGGTCGCCCTGGACCGATGGGACCCTAGGATCACCTGGAGGTCCTAGGGAAATTCCGGTACCTACGGTACCTTGAGTCTGGTGACCTCTTGCGATGCTACCAGGAAGAGCTCGGAAGACTCTTCAAGGTGTCTCGGCACTCTGGAGAACTCTGATTGAGAACTGAAGAGACTCTTCAGGAACTGGAGATTTCCTTTGATGGAATTCTTGGAGAGTTCCGAGTTTTCGATTGTTTATGCCCTCTTTTTCGAAAGGGGACCTTCGCAACTGATTTTGCACCCAGGAGTTGAGTTGCTTGGCACAGGTTGATTCTGTTCGTCGCTGCTTGCAGGTTAGGAAGCTTCGACCTGGGTGCGGTGCATCAATGCGGACTGAACTTTCCGGGGATGCTGCGCTCCCCTTTATAATCTGTGGCTACTCTTCAGGGCGCTTGCGCGGAGATTTCCACATGAGGACGAGAATGGAGAGGGACACCCGAGGGTGGAAAGAGGGATGAACGTGGGGAGAGATCGAAAGGATCAACCCCTGGGATCGATTACACTGGTCAATTAGTTTAGACTCTGCTGATTCTCGCCGAAAAAGGATCATGTTATAATCTGCTGTGATTGGAGAGCACCCCCTGAAATTAAAGAGCACTTTTTTAGACTGCCGAACAGCCTCCGAAATTAGACCTTAAAGAGACTCTCGACCGGGCCGAAAATAAATAATTCAGGAAATTTTTTTTTAATAAATCCGAGCTTTCTAGGGGAAAATGTCATGGGGATATTTTTAAGGGCAGATGTGGAAAATATCCTAAGGAGTAAGAACAAAGATGTCGAAGATTTTCAGTGAAGGGTAAAAAAGGCAAAGAAGGAGTCGAAGGACCTCAAGAATAATTTGTCTAGATTCGAACGAAAATTAATTTTTCGGGTTAAATATTTATATAAAATCGAGATTTTTAGATTTAGATAGATGTTGAAGGATCTCGAGAAAAAAGGAGGAGAAAGTCAAAGATCTCCAACCTGGAGAAGAAGGACCTCTAAGGAGTCAGGATTCTGCGGAATTTCTTTCTCTCCAGGGTTGTTGCATCCAATTCCGAGGCTGTATATACATGTACATACATGTACATGCATGTACACCGGCACGTAAGAATTGCACGTCTCGCAGGATCCCCGAGGAGGTCCTTAGGACGCCATCATCGGCTAACTAACCTGACTTAATCCAATCTAAGTTGGCAGCAAGAGTCCTGGAAGATTTGTGTGTCCGACCTATGAATGCCTGATCAGCAAAGTGCCTTGCTACTTGATTATGAATTGAGAGAGCCCCTTCTGGTCTCCTCTTGTCTCATTATCACTAATCACGAAAACCAGACGAGAGATTGTCCGTCCTCAACCGTGAAATCCTGCCCTTTCCTCCGTGCAGTTTTCCGAAATAACCTCAAACACCATAACCGCGCGCCCCGACCCTGCCTCGACCTTAATTTTTTTCATCCCCTTCCCTTAGACCCAAACCCTCCCAAAAATTCCCACGCCAATTCAAACCCCTAAACAACCTAAAATAAAATACATTTCGCAAAACTCCCACGAATACCCTGGAATAAAAATAAATACCAGTCCGCCCGACAAAGCGTTGACTAGCACCACTGAAATCTCCCCGATTTAGTTCTCCCTATAAGAGGCACTTTCTACGGTGTAATAAATTCTTAAAAATTAATATCAACTATAAATTCCCTTTGCCATGTTGGAAACACTTTGGAGAACGGTTTTTTATCGGGTTATGTTGAATATTGCGACGCTTTTGCGTGTAGGATGATTTTTTAGAACCATTACTCGGGGAGAACTTGAATTGGGCGGTGAATTTTGGGGCAAATTATTGTTCTTATTTTTTCATCGGGATTTCCTTTCTTTTCGAAATCCCCGACGAGGGTTTAATTTAAGAGAGCTCGATTCGGAGCTTTTCTGGGATCAGACGCGACGAGGTTCATCGATTCCTGGCCTGGGGTGAACGACACCGAGTAAACCTAGCCTCTCGGGTTAAGCTCCCGTCCCCTCGTCGTCTTTCAATTATAAAAGATGTTTACGAAATATTAGCAGCAGGGCTTAAGGAAAGATGGACGAGGGAGTGTCTCCTGCTTCCTGAAAAAAATCCCTCGATTTAACGGGGCGGTCAGTGAACGTCTCAGGGCGTCGTCCTCTTCGGCGGCGTCTTCAGTCTCGAGGAGAATTTTTTTCCTGGACGATTCCAGGCGTGGAAAATTATATAAAAATTCCAAGGACCTCTGTTTATTGTCCTGCAAAGGATCCTGGCTCGACGTAACCGGGCCAGAGCTGGGGATTATTTTTTTCCCGTGTTTTGTCATAATTGTGCAATGTCGAGTGCAAGGACGGAACTGGTCGGGGTTATGCGCGGTTTGCGCAATGCGGGGGTCCGCGTTTTTCCGGATTACCGCGTATAATTATACAATTTGTGATAGTAATACACTGTTATGGAGGGTAAACAGATTTCCATCGACGGATATGCCAGGATGCGTCTCGTTTCGGGATGCGTCGTTACGTCCAGAGCCGCGTGTCCTGGACGTAACACGCGTGCCATTTCCGCTTCGGTTATATGCAAAGAGGAACTAATAATCAAATGATTAGCTGATAATTAATCGAGCCAAGTAGTCATAACTAGCTAGGGTATTACGAGAGGAGATATTTCTGAACGGCTCCAGAAATAGACGGCCAGTCCTGCAGGACATCGCCAGGATATTTTTCCACGAGGGGTATGTCAGTTATGAAGGATCCTTAAGGATCCCCAAGGACAGAAACAAAAGATTGTCGTTGTGATTTCTCTAAATAGACGAATTATTAGTGATAAGAGATATTTCCTCGGGATTTTATCAACCAGCTCGCCAGGACGATTTATCAAAATTCGGTATCGGTGATAATGGATTTTTTTTTCCGACGCTTTCTAGAAAGAAGATCAACACAATTTTGTTAAATGGCAGGATCGAAGAGACAGGATTTTTTCCCGGCGATATTACCGAGGAAGGAGCCTGCCACAATTTTTTAAATAGATATAGGATCTTGGTAAACAATTTTCTGCCGAGTGGGGACCCAGGAAATTATGCATAATTACGTTAGCCATAGTTGGACTTCCGGGTGCGGAGGCGAATTTATTTCAGAGCGACGATTAGAAAGCGGTCGAAGTTTCGACACGATCGGCCTTGATCGATCATGGATCATGGATCATTCAAGGGCACGTGGTCTCGATACAAATCTCGGGTCAGCACAACAAGTGCGTCGTTCCTCAAGCTTTGCATAAAAAAAAAAAAACGGTCCCCATTGTTGAATAGTTAATAGAATCATAGAAATATTGTATTAATTCAAAGAGTAATAATTTGACTAAAACAAAAATCAAATAAATGGCCACAATTCCAGAGAAACGTCGCATCCAATTAATTCCAGTTTATTCCAGTGAAATCATTATTCCTCGAATTAAGAGTAATATTTCTTTGAGGGAATTAATTTTTTTTTCTCTAGGTATAAAAATCAGGCCCTCGAAATTGCCTCGCTTGGACGAGATGAATCTTGAAAATGATGGGAACAATTGGGAAAATCGCAGGAATTGCGTTTTTCCCGATTTACCTGTCACCGCGACCTCGGTCAACTCCTCGTGCTCGATTTATCCCCCGAGGCTGAGCACGTCGCAGAAATTCGAGATGAGGTCTTTGTTCCGACCGAACCAGTTTCACACTGGTTGTACTTGAGCGGAGATCGGGTGCACCAGGGTTCAAGTCCCCTGGACCACGCCCAGCATCCCATAGGTGGATCCGGTCGGAGATCCGGCTGCTAAGAACCACGTGGGTCTCTCTACGGTCCCTCGTGTCCCATATGACATCTCTAACCACCTCCACGAAAATAATCAACACCCGTGAACCTCTAATAAGCAGGAAAAATAAAATTCCGCGGAGAAAATCGGGCAAGAAAATGCGCAAGAAAAATCCATCGAATTCCCAGGTCGATCGTGCCGATCAGATCTGAGATCGAAGGTTGATTTTAATCGATCGATGCAGTCAGGATCGAAGGTTTCCACGTGAAACGCATTTTATTGAAATAAGAACAACGTGGGAAAGGACGGAGATGCAAGAAAATTGCGATGAAAAATCATGTTGGGGGGTACGAGGAAGAGGAAGAGTCCTTCACATCTTAAGGCGTTTCTAAGACCGAGATCGCCATATTTCCGATATCCAATGTGCGTGAAATAATTTTTTTCAAGTACATTTCAATTAAAAAAAAAATATGGAAAGGGACCAAGATGCTAGGAAAATGAGTAATTAATCAGGCGTGGCCCATTAAGTTCGCGGGGGGTCCGTGAAGGAAGCGGCAAGTCCTTCGCGCTTCCTAAGGACGAGGATCGGTCGTCCTTCGAGAACTGCTTGACAAACACGCTCGTTCTCGATCGCGATCGAGGCGGGAAGGTCTCCAGGATTTTTTCTCCTCCTTTTTTCCATTTCCTCGCGTGCGGACCTTTCCCGGTTTTAAACGTCCCTGTTTTGCGCCGAGTTGTGGACGTGATCGTTAGACGGGGACGTTTCCCAGGACAATGGGCGTTGCGTAAGACCTGGACAGGACCTTCGGATGGAAAAGTCGGAATTTCATGGGCCAGGACGATCCCTCGTTTTCTGTAGAGATATTAAGGAGGAGGTAGACCTCGAAATTCGAGGAACTGTGTCGTTTTATAGGGTTCTTCCATCTGTGTCGCGAGTGCTCGTCGGATCGATGTTGAAGAACAATGTCATTATATCTACTCTCAGTTTTCCCTTGCGTTCATTGTGGGGTAATCGTTTTTCATAATCGCTTTGACGTAGCACGACCAGATAAGGCCGATGACGTTAAGGAGTTACGTCTTTCTGGTAAAAGCGATCCGTTTCGAAGGACCTGCGAAATTTCGATTTCCTAATCCAAACATTAATTAAATTAATGGCGGCATTTTATATTCGTCTACGAGATTCATAAAAGACTTCTTTTCCCCTGGAAAATGTGCAGCTTGCATCGATATTGCATAGAGCCTCAGATGATCGACTAAAAAATCGCGGTCCTCGCGAAGGACCTGAAAGATTCGGAACTTGGCTCCAAAGCTTGATGAAATAAATGAAACCAGCTGTTTTCTCACTTAGGAGACTCACAAAAGACATCTTTTTCTCTGGAAAATGTGCAGCTTGCACCAATATTGCATAGAGCCTCAGATAATCGACTAAAAAATCGCAGTCCTCGCGAAGGACCTGAAAGATTCGGAACTTGACTCCAAACCTTGATGAAATAAATGAAACCAGCTGTTTTCTCACTTAGGAGACTCCCAAAAGACATCTTTTTCTCTGGAAAATGTGCAGCTTGCACCAATATTGCATAGAGCCTCAGATAATTGACTAAAAAATCGCAGTCCTCGCGATGGACCTGAAAGATTCGAAACTTGACTCCAAACCTTGATGAAATAAATGAAACCAGCTGTTTTCTCACTTAGGAGACTCACAAAAGACATCTTTTTCTCTGGAAAATGACGCAGGCCGTACTTGGCTGCACCTGGAAAATGTGCAGCTTGCAACAATATTGCATAGAGCCTCAAATAATCGACTAAAAAATCGCGGTCCTCGCGAAGGACCTGAAAGATTCGAAACTTGACTCCAAACCTTGATGAAATAAATGAAACCAGCTGTTTTATCACTGAGGAGACACACAAAAGACATCTTTTTCTCTGGAAAATGACGCAGGCCGTGCTTGGCTGCACCTGGAAAATGCAGAGCTTGCTTCCATGACGTGTGGAGCTTCGAATAATCGTCCCAGGACTCGCGAATCGTCCTCGGAGCTTATGCAACCACTCGCCTACGTAATAGCGTACTAATAATCGGACCAGAACACGTAACAATGTTTTTCGGATAAACTCTAATGAACCGCGGATAATCATTGTTCCCAGCCCGCGGATGATCCTTTCGGAGGTGATAAGAACGCCCACGCTTGAAGGTTCCGAATCACTCCACCGAAATTCCCCGATTTTACATAAAATTAATTTCCATTTCACATGTGATTACGTGGCAATGAGTATGTAATGGTGAATGGAGATATCAAAGGGGATTGATGATAAGCTGATTATGAAAAATCGCCTCGTGAATGAATCATCGATCTCTTATCGGCTCTGAGTGGGTGGAGGCTGATTATCGAAAGGATAATTATACCCATGGAATATTATTATCCTGGATACTGATAAATCAGCATATACTCAGCTGATAGGATTTATGGGGTCCTTCGGGCGTGGAGATTAAATCAGGAAGGATCATTGAAGGATGTTCAAGATCGTCGAAGCGTATTGCGTATCATCGAAGGATATTGCGCATTGTCGAAGGATTTTAAGGGTCCTCGGTAAATACTGCACATCGTGAGGATCCTAAGATCCTTCAAGGACCCTAGGGATGACTTTTCACAGGGATCGTCGAAGGATCTTCCGATCAGCCTCGGATTTCGATCTATCTCATCGATCTTCCAGGATCCTTTCCCGAGTCTAGGACGTTCCAGGACGATAAATCTCACAGTTGTATCCTGATTTCCGGCCTTCGTCCATGGATCTCCATATCCAAGGTTATCAGTGACTCCTTCTTGGGAAATCATTGCTCATGATTATTTAAATATTATAACCCTTTGAGAATAAAAAACATTCTTCAGGGCCTCAGGACATGCTCGAGTTACTCCGTAAAAAAGACCTCCAGAGACGTTTCTTTATTCCTGATCATTTTTCAGAAATCCTGCTAGGCAGAAATTCATATCTTTATTGAAAATTCCGCCGTCGCGGATTGCGTAGAAAATAAATTGCAAATTTTTGGGTAGGAACTTTTCCTCTTCGGTATTGAAGGGGACAAGAGACAAGGGAGGAATAAATTCCGTGAGCGATATTTTTTTAAATTTTATTAATGATCGTGATTAGTGATCAATACATGCGAGAAGAGAAATCGCGGATGGAAGTCGTGAGGATGAGTCAGTCTCCTTGGGGTGAGGTGGTCCAGGGTCGAGGGTCCTCTTCAGGGTGTTTTCAGATGTAGTAGCCAGATTTGTAGGCATATGGCAGTGCATATCCGTAGGGGTAGGTCAGGGGTGTAGAGTAGGCACTGTATGCATTGTAAGCAAGAGGGCTGCCATATGCAGAGACGACAGGTGCATTGTACGAAGAGATCACCGGTGCACCTACGAGGGCTCCAGGAGCAGCCACGGCCAGGGCCAGCATAGCGGCGAACACGAGCTGTCAAAAAGTTCCATTATTATCCAAAACACCTTAGATCACGCTTCAAGGGTCTAGAAAAATTCGGGGGTGAATTTGAAGAAGAACACGAGCTGTCAAAAATTCCAATGCTCTCTCGATGGTCACACTTAAAGGGTCCTCAAAAATTTCGAAGTCATTTTCGAAGAGAAATCCAGACACTTTCGCGAGGAAGCCAATTAACTCAGCTTCAAGCTGATGAACACGTGACAAAAAAAATTCTGGAAGCACTTAAATTACAGACCGTGTATCAAGGATCTCCAATGATCTAAGAATGAATTTTCAGGAGGGACCAAACTGGAGAATGATTTAAGGTGCGACTTGGAGAACCCTTCGAGTTAAAAAACGAGATGGGATTCATGGATGTTAAAACGTTGGAATCGTTGGAAAAAATGAAGACACTTCCCAGAGAAAATCAAGTCATCTTCAAAAGGGAACAAAGTGGAGGAGTTGCAAACTCCTCTTCAGGGGTCAAAGTTGGTGGATTTTCGGATTTTGTTTTAGATTTAGTAGGTGGATCGATTGAAAATACGAAGACTAGGATGAAGAGTACTCACCAGTTTGTACATGTTGATCGATCGTCGGACGTGAGTGCCAAGGATAATATGCCTAATTGGAGGGAGACCAGGTTTATATAGGTAGGGCAGTTTCTGGGAGGAGTGGTCCCTCTCCCTGGATGAAGCAGGCCCTCTAGAGGGGAGAACTAGTGGTCCGGGCAGAAAACGAGTGCTTTTTTATCTCCCCCTTTTTCCCACCGGGGAGCTTTCCTGGCCAATGGTGGTTCCTGACGAGGACGCAAGAAAGGATCCGCGTGCATCCACCGAGGGCGTCACGCTCTTCAAGGTCTACGGGTGCACCCAGGACTTCTTTTGACGTTTCCTCAAGACCTATAAAAGCCACCGGCGTCTTCGGTAGAGACCATACCTAGTTCTCGCAACTTAAGGACTACTCGAGCACCGAAGCCTACACCGCACCTCCGCAAACATGTACAAGCTGGTGAGTCGAGATGGGAGTTTTCCCACATTTAGAATATTTCTCATCGACAATGCGACACCGATCCACCGTATAAAAATCCTGGAAGCTTCTCAGGACCCTCCTCGAACTCGGGGAATTTTTCTACTAACCATGCACGAGTCCTTCCTTTGAAGAAAAATTTCGGAAATTTTCTGTACTCCCGCAAACGTGTGTAGAGACTGGTGGTTGAGATGGGTGTTTTCCCGTGTTTCTAATTTTTCTCCGTTGACGTTGCGGTCCAGATCCGTTGAACAAAAATTGTGAGGGTTCCCAAGACCCTCCCCGAACGCGGGGATTTTTTTTACCGATTATGAGCGACTCCTTTCCTCGGAGAAAAATGAGGAAGTCTGTAGAGTTGATCATTTTGGTTGCGGAGTTTGTTGAGACAATTTTGATGTTTTTCTCCAGTTTGTCCTCGCCGTCGTCGTGGCCCTGGCCGCTGCAGCACCTGCACCTGAGCCTGCACCTGAGCCTGCACCTGCACCTGCCCCTGGATACATCGCATCGCCCCTGGTCTCCGCCTACACCTCACCTGTGGCGTATTCCCTGCCATTGACCTACAAGACCTACTCGTCTCCGCTGACCTACGCCGCACCTTATGCCTACGCACCTTATGCCTACAAGGCTGGATATGGATATGGATATGGATACTTGTGAGCTGCCCAGGCTAGAAGGAAAAATGGAAAGAATCGTGCTCCAACCCACCGACCAACTCGGACGGAATCGCAAACTCTTCAGCAAAGCGGCTGACTAATCCCACGCATCGCACAATCTATTTCGATCTTGCCGGAAAATAAACCACAAATGTATTTTCCAAAAACCTGAGTCCTTTGTTTCACCCCCACCTGTAGATGTAAGAAAAATTGGAAAGTGGGATATATATATATATATAATAATAATATAATCCCCATCTTGAGGAACACCTCGAAGAGCGCACTTAAAAAATCTGACAGTAAAGTGTACTCCATAGAAATATTTTTTTAAGATCCAAACATCGATCTCGTTTCGATTTATGGAGATAAGGAGATAAAATCCAGAGATGGGGGATGGTGAATTTAGGGAATTAGTACCTGAAGAGGTCCAACTTTGGGCTGGTTTTCTATTCGAGGGGTTTCGAGGAGATAAATGGTTGGTGGGTATGGTGGGATTTGTTTTTTGAAGGATAGAATTAAAATAACGAGTGTTAAGAGAACGTCCACCCTGAAGAGAGTCGGATTGGTTGTCGAAGAGCTGCAGGAAACTTCATCCGAAGACGGTAAAATATCCTTACGGCGTTTTAACGACCTCACGTTATTTATGATTCTAATTGGCTTAGTAGAGAACAAAGATTTATCATCTCACACCATGGGAATCTGTTACTTCGTCAATATCTTCAAGACCAGCGATTAATAACAAATAATTGGTTTCCTTAATGTGTTCGAGTTAAAGGCCCGATTAAGCCGACTCGGTTACCTACACCTGGTGAACACCAAAGCAGAGGAACATAAAAAATTCCCCCTACTAATTTTTACCACCCAACTTATCAACAAATTTTTTCCAAAACTGTCTTACTATAACAAGAAATAAATTAAACTCCACTTTGAAGAAATTCCAGATGAGTGAAATTAATACCAACGCTTCTCCCAGAAAACTATTTTTTTTATCAACATTTAAGGCTAAATTTTTACAACATCAACCACATCAAACATTAATTTAAATTCTTCCCTGATTAAATTTCAGGAATGAAGTCGAAGAGCCTTATCAAGGCGAGTACGAGCGAGTCCTTATCACACCAGGAGGTTTTAGCCAGACGACAAGGAACAAAGTCAATGTAAAGGAAATTTATTTCTTAAATCCTAGCTGAAGATCAATTGCCAGAAGTGATTTAGAAAATACAGGGTGTAGTCAGGGTCGATTCGATCAGATGTAGTAAGAGGGGGCGGCATATGCAGCATAGGCGCCGTATGCAGGTGCAATGATGGGTTTGCTGTACGCCAGGGGTGCAGCTGCAGCGATGGGTGCAGCATAGGCGAGAGGAGCAGCAGCAAGGGTGTTGTAGTTCCTGGCGACGTACTGGCTGCTGGAAGCTGTGACAATTGGTGCAGCAACAGCTGAAACAGCTGGTACCGCAACTGCAGGAGCTGCCAGGATTCCAGGTGCAGGTGCAGGGGCTGCACTGACTGCGGCCACCAGGGCGAGGATTGCGAACTGTTGGCATAGAAATGATTGTTAATTAAACCGTAGGACGGAAATAGTGCGTTTTTTAGGGTCTTTTAGGCCAGCCCCAGGTGGAACCAGTGGCAAGGTAACCGAAGGAAAGACTCACCAACTTGTACATGGCGATGGCTGGGTGCTTGCAAGTGCTCTGCAAGGTAGGGAACGAGGTACTGTGTCCGACAGTGCAGGGACTTAAGCTTTTATAGGGAAGCAGAAGCCACCCCTCCAGACTCGACACATTGGGCGGCCGGACCTACCACGCCTCTTTTTCCTTCGACTCTTTTGTCTCTGATCGGGCCGAGGAACGTTGCCTCATGACGAGCATCGCAAACGACCCGGACTGGACTTTCCTTTCGACGTCTGGCCCCTCCACCAGGCGCGGACCCCCTCGTCTGGGAATGGACCTGGAAGTGGACCTGGAAGTGGACGCGACCTTGGCTGGTTCTCCAAGATTGGACTGCCCAATGTCGAGCTAGACCCTTCTGGTATTATGACTGATTGTGGCCCTTATGGTACGAGGGTTGTGGTTCTCCAGGATACCACAACTGGTACCTCTTCTCCAGTCTCATGATGCCATCCTCATTCATCCTATATTCCATTGCAACCACTAAACATGAATGGACCCCGGGATATCAACATCTTATCTTCATGATACCCATCAGGAAATCCTAAAAAAAAGAACTCCTGAATTTCGCAGGGGCCTCCAGGTGACATCGCCGCAGGACGACCTCGAGTTCCTCCGAGTCGCGCCCGAAGAAATCGGGGGCAGAATCGCTAACGTAACTCGCATAATCTAGTCCATTGACAGGGGCGTCACGTCCCAGAGGAAAGTGCACCTGATGGCACCCATCTGGGTATAAATAGTGACCAGGGATAGTGGGTGTCATCAGACCTCCTCAAGGTTCCCAGCAAGACCGAGCACCATGTACTCCAAAATCCCGGTAACTAGATATCTCAAGAATCAATCATTATTTTTAATTGGCATTAATTGTCAAATTGACAATTGAAGTCTAGATCCTTTTTCTAAATCTCGTCGCTCCTCTTTCAGGTGGTGATGGCAGTTTTGGCGGCGGTCCTGGCGACTGGAAGGGCAGGGGTTGTACCTGCAATTGCGGCTGCCCCGGTTGTTGCAGCCCCTGCTGCAGTTGCATACACCAAAGCCGTGCCTTACAACATTCCTCCATATGCATCGAGGGTGGACATCAACACCAGAGTTCTCAGCCCATACGTTGCTGCTGCACCTGTGGTTGCAGCTCATGCTGCACCAATTGTCGCAGCACACGCTGCACCAATTGCAGCTCACCCTGCACCAATTGTCGCAGCACATGCTGCACCAATTGTAGCCCACCCTGCACCATTTCCAGCAGTACCAGCTGCAGGGCATTTGGCTGCACCTGCCTTCACCTACGGAGGTTTCGCAGCTCCCTATGCACATGCAGCCTTCACTGCACCCGGACCAGCGATTTTCGGCTGAGACTTCAGCATCCTCTTCAGCAACTCCCTTGCCCGATGAACTCTTCTAGCAAATAAACTTGTTTTCCTGTTGAAGAAAAATCCGTGCATTAATTTTCTCCCTCTCTGTTGAATTATTTTTTTAATGAGGTCTTCGGTTTTTTTATCCGTTTAATTAATTATCGGAGAGGTCGCCCAGTCTGAGTCGCAACTGGACCAATTGAGCTGGTTCGAGGGGATCTTCAGGGTCGAGAACTCGCTCGGAATTCGCAAGGATATCCCGAAAAAGAATCCAGACCGCGACGAAGGATCCCGGAGCAGAGGGTAATGCTCCTGCAGGGAAGCTGGGTGTTTCGCTCGCGATCTGGAATCCGAACTGGTCTCCGCCATGGAGAGGACCTTGAAGTACATCCTGCTTCTGGCTCGAGAGAGGAGGCTGGAAAAATTGTCTCGCGTGTTGGTAGACATGCGTGCGTGTCTACAGACTGAGTCGACGTGCGATCGGCCGAGTTACGAAAAAAGTCCCGGAAAAAAGAGACCCCGGTCCATTGGGCGCGTCGCTCCAGGGGAAAGCTGCCTCGGCCAATCGGAGCCGGCCCTCGGGGGTACAGCGGAAACGACCGGGGCTCCCATCTAGACGCCCAACCCGGTGTTACCCGGAACCGCTCCACATGTAAAATCATATCTATCGAATTCCGACTCTCACGCCGTTCCCAATTTTTTTCCACACACTCAGACCTTCGATGCAGCTAGGAAAAAATCGGGAAGGAAATTAAGCCACGGACTTATGAAGGGGAATTTTTCCGGAACATTTGAGGCATTTTTCTGGCCGATTTTTTATTTTTCTGGGAGGAGGGACCTTGTTGGAAAATTGTTTAAAAATTTTCGGATATCTGGGAGATTGTGATTAATGAGTCGGGCACCCGATTGGATAGATTCGTGACGAAATTAGATGGGAATGATAGTATTTCCTGTGGGACCCCTTCCCGGTTCCCATTTTCGGCGTTGCTCAAGCGCGTTTTCTCTTTTTCGATCAGGCCCGCCATTGGGCAACCGCTTTTACTCGAGTTTTACGTTAAATTCGTCCCGTAAATACGGAGGCATTCTAACCGCGACCTTTCACCGATCGTAATTCGAGACGTCGATTCAAAGGCCGAGCCTTAACCGAGCGGCTCAATGAAACCTTGTAACGAGATCCACGATCAGCTGATAGCCTGATAAAACCGGCGTGTCCGTGATGCGGTATAAAAAATCACTTTTTACATCCTGGATATTTTTCCTGACTCTTAGGATTATTTCCCTTCGATTTTAGAATTAATAGTAAAGACCGCGTGTCGGTTATGCGGTTTAAACAATTATTCTTTACATCTCTGATATTTTTCCTGATCCTTAGAACTATTTCGCCTCGATTGCAGGGTACATGCACCTGTAATCGATAGTTAACTAAGACGTTCGACCAAGTTGAAGAGGCGATCGGCTCGATTTTCGAATTCAGATCGCGTAGGGCAGACGCTCCCGAGTTTCACTTTTAAGGAGTCCGCAATTGCAAGTTCATTGGGCAAGTTGCGCATGTCGTGTGAACGTGTATGTACGTTCTTGGTCGCGTACCGAGGCTCACGCACCGAGCAATGTCGCCCTGGATTCTAATGTCACCTGTCGCGACCAATTGTGTCATCGGTTACGCCTTCGATCGCGCTTACCATTCGTTGAATTCTCCTCGACGTGTTTCCTAAATTCGCCGAGAAATGGCTTTCACTGTCAAGGATCTGAATCCTGATTCAGAAATCGCAATCCTCGCCCGGGAATATTTTATAAAATCCTCATAAGGATGCATTACTTAAATTCCTCGGATTTTTTATACCTTCGCCAGGATCTACATCCTGAACGTTGTGATCCAGATCCAGGAAATATCTTCTACTTCCATAATCCTCGCCAGGATCTATTTGCAAAATCTCGTGATCCAGTTACTCAAAAATCGGTAATTACAACCCTAGCCAGGAAGTAATCTCTAAAATTCTCGTCAAGACATATTTCCTGAATTAGACTTAATTTCCCAGGATCTACTCTTAGATCTCTTAATCAAGGTCCTTAGAAACGATCGATCGCGACCCTCTCCAGAATGTGCTCTTAAATCTCGTAATTAAGGTCCTTAACAATTATCAATAGCGACTCTCTCCAGGATGTACTCTTAAATCTCATAATGAAGGTCCTTAGAAATGATCGATGGCGACCCTCTCCAGGATGTACTCTTAAATCTCGTAATCAAGGTCCTTAAGGATGATCAATAGCCACCTTGCCAGGCCTAATTTCGCAGTTTTTCGGCGATTTCGAAAATCGGAATGAATTCCACGGATGTCCTGGAGCTTTCTCAAGAAGGGGCGAGACCTCGAGGAGGGATCCTCCCGCAAAGCGATCGACAAGGCGTGGCCTCGGAACAGGAGAGGTCATCTGGTATGCAAGAGCACGAGCTGCCCACGAGTCAAAGGTGGGAGGTCCTCTTTGTTGGGCCCAGAGCTTGGAGGCACCTATAAAAGAGCCCCCGAGCTTGTCCATGGCATCGCAGTTTCAGCACCGAAACAGCCAACCCCAAGCCAATCAAAATGTTCACCAAGTGTCTCGTAAGTCTAAGAACCGACACCAATCCCTAGATTACCTAAACCTCCCCAAAATCCCCCCCGTCTGATTCTCTAATTTTTTCCTCATCGCTTCCAAGCTACCTTCAAAATGATCCAAAGAACCCCTAAGTCCCTTCAATTCTTCCGAAGGATTTCCTACCCAGCTCCTAATCGATACTATTAACAATTTGATCGAGGTCTTCCAATAATTCTCTTAAGATTTACTATTTCCATTTCAGAGGAGATTAGCTAAACCTAGATTACCTAAACCTCCCCAAAATTCCCACCGTCTGATTCTCTAATTTTTTTCCTCATCGCTTCCAAGCTACCTTCAAAATGATCCAAAGAACCCCTAAGTCCCTTTAATTCTTCCGAAGGATTTCCTACCCAGCTCCTAGTCGATACTATTAACAATTTGATCGAGGTCTTGCAATAATTCTCTTAAAATCTACTATTTCCATTTCAAAGGAAAATTCACATTTTTCGGCTTCCTTTAAAGAATTTTCAGTTTTTCTTTTTTCGACACGACTGTCAACTGACCTTTTTATCTTTTGACAGTTCCTCGCCGCCCTGGTGGCAGTCTGCTCGGCCGGACTCGTCCCAGCTGTTCCAGCTGCCTTGACAGTTGGCACCTACGCCAGCAGCTACAACGCCCATGCCATCAACCACGCAGTTGCAGCTCCCATTGTGGCCGCCCCTGCAGTTGCAGCTGCACCTCTGGCGTATCCGGGATACCCTGCGATATCGGCGTATCATGCAATTCCTGCATACGGAGCACCCATAATCGCAGGACGACGCTAAAGACCACCACTTGCCTCCACCACCTCATCGGCATCTCCTGGACCAGGGCACTCATCTCTCATGACCTCCGACCTCTCCAGAAAATTCTGGAAAATCATGAAAACCATTCGGTGATCTCTCTTGGGGACGCAAGGATTCGAGTCCTGTGTACGTGCAGGAGCATCCTTGCGAGCGCTGAACATCCTCGGTGATTGGTCGAAGCTAGGCTTCGAATGCTGCGATGATCCGAAATTCCTCTCTTTTTTGGTTAACTAAGTAAACGTTTTCCGGAAAATACACACACTCTTAAGGAAGTTTTTTCGTTACGAAACCCATTCCTCTCCTGTCGATCCTGAATTTATCGGGGATTTATCGACTCACGTGTCCGTAATCGTCATTAAGGGGATGTGAAAGTGGCATCTGAGGAGGCAATCGTTCATAAGGAAGGTCCTGACACCCATTAAGTCTGATTAATTAGAAAAATTGTTAGCTAAAAAAATTGTGTAAAATTAAAAATTTTATTGGTGTCGGGACCTTCCTTGTAGTGGCTATATTTACTTTCTAGAGTTTGATACTATTTGGTGCACCCAGTGCAGAGAAAAGTTTCATAAAAAAGAGACCTCTTTGACGCCACTTTCACATCGCCTTAAGACGCACGGAAGAAACGCGGTGAGATATTGAAAAATCTTGACAGGGCCGTATCTTAACCCGTCCCTTGGTACCCGGGGCTGTAATTTGCGTTATCACGCCTGTGGAGCCTGTCTTTCGGATGATTTGTAGGATCGCTCTCGCTGATGTCGGAATGATCGCTTACAACACTCTCGACGTGCACTCGGAACGAACACAAGGCCCTTGAAACGTTTTGAAACGACTTCGCTCGCCTAAATCTGGGTAGGAATTGCGTAGAGGTCTGTCAGGTATCGACGATCTCACCTGGTGGTGAAATCGATGGACCATCATTAAAAAAGACACCGAAGCGTGCCTTCTGTCCCATAAACTGCACCTGAAGCTTCATACAAAATTCCTGGATTATGAAAAATTCCTAGAATACGGAAAATCCCTGGTATCCGCAAGATTCCTGGAACAAGCAAAGTTCCTGGCATCTGCAAGATTCCTGGAAAATTAGCCACACTAATTCCTCCGTATAAATGACCCAACGCGTACAAAAAATTTGTAAAAATTCTCCCTGGGTATGTCAACCTTGAAGAAGCCTTTCATCCGTCCCGGGAAGGCGTAGGGAGTGATTCATGGATTCCATAAATGTTTACAGTGCGGTCAATGACTAGTTTGAAATTTAAGCCGGAGCTGCATCTCGGTGCGGTGCAGCGGTGCATAGGCACATGCCTGGCATGCACTCGGGCTCTTATGCAATGCCTTGAAGAAGACGTGAGTCACCCTGTAGAACCAGTCGGGCTAGATGAAAGAGAGATCACGCCGGCGATAAAATCACTCATCGATCGACGATTCGATCGGGGAACATTATTGCTCGGCCTCCTCGAAGGGCGATTTTTCAAGCCGTGTAACTCCCCTCGGAAATAATTATTACAAATTGATTTTCGTGCTTCCTGGTACCGGGGAGACACCTTTTCCGTGGTCCTGGAAAATTATTCCCCGGCTTGCCCGGTTTCGTAATGGACAAAAGGCGTGGAGGAAAAGTTGCGCAATTCTTGGAGAGTTGCACAACTTCGGCCTTTGCTCGAGGTGCCGGCCTCTTCTGGGCTTTTTGTCGGCGACTGGGCTTCTTTGTCATTGTTCCTCGAGGTTCGCCGAGAGGTCCTGATTCCGTCTGTCGAGGTCACGGTCTAGGTCCCCCAGGAGTCCTCGACTCGGTTGTCCCCGAGTTCTTCGATCGATTGTCCGTGATTAGTGGGTCGGAACTCCAGAAAGAGAAATTGATCCTGAAGAAATGACCACTGAGAGATGGGTCCTGGGCGACGAGGAAGACCTCTCGAGGAACCTGGGCAATTGAATGAAATCTTATTACACCTGATATATCGAATTATCCCACTCGGGTATCGATAAAACAGGAGACTATGGCTCATGACGAGCCTTCACTCCTGTCGTTCCAGGACCTCCCAGTTCAGCTCTCTTCTGGATCTCCAAGAAGCCAGGACATCTGCCGACTTGTTAGTCCGACAAATTTCGCGTCCTTGTCAGGGTCTTCGGTTCCTCCCAGAGGATCTTCCGGCGTGCAGAGGATCTCCAGCAGGAAGCAGGGAAAAGGTAAGGAGGATGCGCGAGATCGTCCACCTGCAGGCCGGCCAATGTGGCAACCAGATCGGCGCAAAGGTGAGTGCAACCTGAAAGAATATGAAAAAAACAATAAAAAGGGATCAGATTCACCTGGACCGATCCACAGTTCTGGGAGGTCATCTCCGACGAGCACGGAATCGACCCCACGGGAACATACCACGGGGATTCGGACCTCCAGCTGGAGCGCATCAACGTGTACTATAATGAAGCCACTGGAGGGAAATACGTGCCCAGGGCCATCCTGGTGGACCTGGAACCTGGAACCATGGACGCCGTGAGGTCTGGACCTTTTGGGCAGATCTTCAGGCCCGACAACTTCGTCTTCGGGCAAAGTGGAGCCGGGAACAATTGGGCCAAGGGTCACTACACCGAAGGTGCGGAGCTGGTGGACTCGGTGTTGGACGTGGTGCGCAAGGAAGCCGAGAGCTGCGACTGTCTTCAGGGTTTCCAGCTGACCCACTCCCTGGGGGGTGGCACAGGAGCCGGCATGGGCACTTTGCTCATCTCCAAGATCCGGGAAGAGTACCCTGACCGCATCATGATGACGTTCAGCGTGGTTCCTTCGCCCAAGGTCTCCGACACCGTTGTCGAACCCTACAACTGCACCCTCTCCGTCCACCAGCTGGTCGAAAACACCGATGAGTCTTACTGTATCGACAATGAGGCACTCTACGATATCTGCTTCCGTACCTTGAAGCTGACAACTCCCACATATGGAGATCTGAATCACCTGGTCAGCGCCACGCTCTCAGGAGTCACCACTTGCCTCAGGTTTGAGTTTTGGATGTCTAGGAGTACCTTGGTTTTAATTAGGGTGTTTAAAAGTACCTTGATTTTAATTAGGGTGTTTAAAAGCACCTTGGTTTTAATTAGGGTGTTTAAAGTACCTTGGTTTTAATTAGGGTGTTTAAAAGTACCTTGGTTTTAATTAGGGTGTTTAAAAGTACCTTGGTTTTAATTAGGGTGTTTAAAAGTACCTTGGCCTTAGGGTGTTTAATGAACCGAACCGAATTAAATCTACACCTTCCCCAGGTTCCCAGGGCAGCTGAACGCGGATTTAAGGAAACTCGCCGTGAACATGGTGCCGTTCCCCAGGTTGCACTTCTTCATCCCAGGGTTCGCTCCTCTGACCTCCAGGGGCTCCCAGCAGTATAGGGCACTGACTGTCCCAGAACTCACTCAGCAGATGTTCGATGCCAAGAATATGATGGCTGCCTGCGACCCCAGACACGGGAGGTACCTGACAGTTGCAGCTGTCTTCAGGGGCAGGATGTCCATGAAGGAGGTGGACGAGCAAATGCTGAACATCCAGAACAAGAACAGCAGCTATTTTGTCGAATGGATCCCCAGCAACGTGAAGACCGCCGTTTGCGACATCCCTCCCAGGGGCTTGAAGATGTCGGCCACCTTCATCGGCAACTCCACCGCCATCCAGGAACTCTTCAAGAGGGTCTCCGAACAATTCACCGCCATGTTCAGGAGGAAGGCCTTCCTTCACTGGTACACTGGAGAAGGCATGGACGAAATGGAGTTCACAGAGGCTGAGAGCAACATGAACGACCTCGTCTCAGAGTACCAGCAGTACCAGGAAGCCACTGCTGAAGAGGATGGCGAGTTCGACGAGGAGGAAGAGGGCGAAGGCGAGGACAAATAATTTATCCCCAGCTACCTCTTCTGCACTGAGGAAAATTTTTCATTTAACCATACGCGTATTTCTTTGAACGGTGCCAAAGAAATATTTTAATAATTCAGAGAATAATCCAAATAAACTCGAATAAATTGGACGCGACGTTTCTTCGGAATCGTGACAAATAATTTCAATTTATTTCAGTTAAATTGTTATTCCTTCAATGAAAGAAATACATATTTCCGCGGTGATGCTCAATGAAATATTTCTTTGGTTCGGTGAGTTCTTTTTCTCAGTGTGTTCTTGACCCGACGCGATGTTCCTCCAAGCTTTGTAAATTGTTGTAAATTGTCCCAAATAAATTGTTTTGACTTCGGCATCAGTGTTGAGGTACTGGTGAAAATTTTGCACAATTCTAACGTGGAAGAGGCAGATTTATCCTGGAGCTCGATCTCGTGAGCCATTCTCACACCTACGATCTCCTCGAGTCGCTTACGAGGAATCTTGGCGTCCTTAATCTCCTTACAGAAAAGTCAGAGTGATTTGCTGAACGCCACGAGATACGCCACCGTACAGTACATTATTTATTCGTAACAATTGTCAACGTAAGAATTCCTCGCAGAATTTCGTCTCAGTCATAGAAGACCTTGGTCGACATCGGTCGGTCCCATTCATATCGATCACTCTTGTTCGGTCGCCTGCAGATCGATCGCCACGCACGAGGGAGCATGACTCTCCTCCTCCTCGTAATTGCGATTAAATTATTATAGAGCCAGTCAACAAGAACCTTTTTCCCTGGAATCCGTCGAGTCGAGATAATCGCTTCGTCCTTCCGAAACCTCCTCTTGGTTTTCAAGATCCGCTTCGATGGGACTAGAAAGCCTCGTTTCCCGTAAACAGTACATGAAAAAGAATACCATTAATTATTCCAGAAGGCATTCCTTTTTGTATTATTTCTTAATTAAAAATTATTTATATTATCTGGAGTTGTGGAATTTCGTTATCGCTTATATGGAGTCGAAAGTCGGGCAATAAGATTTATCGGCCCTCTCTTCCCTGACTCATTTCCACTTTCGTCGTCGAAGTCCTATCAATTGCCCGTACAATGCGGCACTATTATTTGACAAACGAGCCGTTTCGCCGGTGTAATTCGTAATCGATAGCCGCTCGGTAATCGAGCGGCGAGCGGATCCCCTTAAGGCGGTATCGAATGAAAGTGGAGCGATAAAATGCAAAACCCTAAGGAAAACCTCCTGCGATTGGGTGGATCTGTGAACGAGTGACGCCGACAGGGGGTAGGGGTAATTCCTTTTTGCATCTATCACCATTCTCTACTACTAACATTCTCTTCTATCGGCTATCTACTCGGGGTATATATAAGAGCAAGAAGGAATGGCCGAGCAGTTCACCTTTGCAAACAGCCCAGCGATTCCTACACCCTGGAAACCATGTTCAAGTTGGCAAGTACAAGTACAACCTCGAGAAAGCAGGAAAAAAATGAAACTCGGCTTGAAAAAATTAGTTACATATTTTTCTCTTACAATAACGCGGAGACTTCAATGGCTGGACAGGCGGTGACCCTTGCGCGATTTTTTATTTTCAATTTTCTTCTCCTGAAAAACGGCGGCGCTTAATTTTTTTTTCACATAGAGATGAACAAGCGAGTGACGTTGATGGATAGTAGAATTAATTTCCTAGGCTTCGATGTGATTTAGATTTTTTTTTTGAATAGTCAGAAGGAACGCTTGGAGACTTCAACGCTCGGACAGGCGATAACGCTTGCGCGATTTTTCTGTATCTAATTTTTCCCTCGTGAAAAATGGCTGGGTTATTTTTTTTTTACATACAGATGAACAATTTAGTGACAAGGATATAGGAGAATTAATTTTCTCGGTTTAGGTGCGATCTTGATTTTTTTTCTCGAAAATTCGGAAGAGAGCGATCGGAGACTTCAATGCCGGGCAGGTGACGCGTATGCGCATCTTGCCGATGCATTTTTATTAAGTAAAAATTGATCAGGGTTAATTTTCTAACTTTTACGAGAATGAAGAAGGATTTTTTTACATTTCCAGGTAGTCCTTTTGGCAGCAGTGACGTATGTCTCCGCAGGAGTAATCGGAGGATACGGCGGATACGGAGGCTACGGTCTAGGTCATGGATTCGCGGTCGCCCCTGCAGTCAGCTACGCTGCACCTGCAGTGACCTATGCAGCCCATTCTGCACCTGTTGCATACACGTCTCACGCATCTGTGGTAGCTGCCGGTCCTGCAAACTACAAGGTACTCATCTTCAACTATTCTTTCCTCTGAAAAATCTGGACTACCTCGAGGAGGAAGTGCATTAAAAATCTTGTCTGATAAAATCGTCGTGTCTTATCACGACGAGAGTTCAATGAGCGTCCCCTTAACGAGGCTTCGGGCGATCAGCGACCGATCGGAGAAAAATCGACAACGATCGAGGAGAAGGCCTTCACAATGAGGTCAGGGGTCGTCGGCATCGAGAAAAGGTGTCGACCTTTTCTTAAGGTTTAAAGGTCTCTCCTTGCCGATCGCGTGTCGGCAGAAAACGGAATCGCTAAAGGCCAATCGATTGCGATATCAATCGGTGGCATCGATCACACGCAGCTCCGTTTACGTGTCATTTCTCTTATTCCTTCAAGCCTTGCCTCAGGACGCTTAGAAAGGAAGTCGGCAATTGTGCGAAAGGACTTCGAAATTAATTGTGTATTAATTATAAAAATCTTAGAAAATAATTCCCAGGGAATAAATGATAATCGACTTTGATTTTCAGGTCGCCTACGCAGCTCCAGCTGTGGCGAAGGTTGCCGTGGCACCTGCACCTGTGGCAAAGGTTGTAGCTGCACCTGCAGTCACCTACAGTGCGCCTGCAATTGCTCCTGCCGTGGCCAAAGTCGTGGCCGCGCCTGCAGTTGCATACGCCCCTGCAGTCGGATATTCCCATGGGTACGGGTTCGCAGCTGCACCTGCACTTTCCTACGGCCATGGCTACGGATATGGATACGCACCCGGGGCGTACTATCACTGATCGAAACCGACTCGCCCCTAAATTCGCCAAATCCTGCCCGACTTGTAAATAATTCTTCTCGCATCACCGAATGTCGAAATATACTTTTGCAAATTTTGTAATTTACACCGAGGCCTCCTGAGTTTTCCTTGGCATATACTTTCCTGTCTCGTAAATTTGCCTCCTTTTAATTTGCGAATCGTGCAAGTGCAAGGCAATTTTCGAGAGATAAAACCGAGGGCGAGTGCGCGCTCTCCCCTTTTCGCTGCATATCCTCCTCGGCTTCCGAAAAAGGCGGCGACTCGTAAAACAAGAAGAAAGCGGATAAAATATGACCGCGAATCACGGGATCCTCGAGGCACTCTCAAGGGCTCCAGGAAAAAGGAACAAGAAATCGCAGACGACGTTAACCAGGAGGCCACGAAGAAAGGCCAAAAAGCGGACCGAGGCCGCCTCCATATCGGGTTCGCAGATAAATCCGCGTTTCCTTCTCCAACCTCTCCCTCTCTTTCTCTATCTATCAACCCCACGTGCCTTCCGGAAGCCGATTAATTTAATCGATCCCCCTCGATTTAATTAAAATTAAATTTAGGCCCGAAAGAGACTCAGGTAAAATGTTGAAATCTGCAGGTTGGAGAGTGCAGATGTAAAGATCTCACCCTCGAGGTATTATTTAAAATTCAGGTTAAATTCAAAACCTCTAAGTTAAAGGGTGCAGGTGAAAATTCCACCCTAGACGGTTTAATTAAGCCCAGGTAAAATTGAAAGACTCAGGTTAAAGAATGCAGAAGTATATTGTCATCTCAAGGAATGCAAATAAATAGAAGGCGTTGAGAAGTCCTTTGGTCGAGCTCAGTGGACGAGGCCGATGGCGGGGGCGGCGTAGGCGACAGGTGCATGATGAGCGACGACAGGTGCATGTGCAGCATAGGTCAGGTGCGCAGGGTGGGCGGCATAGGTGAGGGCAGGTGCAGCAGCGACGGCCAGGGGTGCAGCAGCCACGATGGGGCTCTTGTAGGCCACTTTGTAGGTGTTGGCGTAGCTGGTGGCGACGGGCACCGAATGTGCGACTGCAACTGCAGGTGCAGCCACTACGGGTGCAGCGTGGACAGCGTGCACTGCGGGGGCGGCCACGACAGGTGCAGCGTGGAGGAACCCAGGAGCAGGGGCAGCTGCAGACAGGGCCACGAGGGCGAAGAACACCACCAACTTGTACATGGCTGGGATATCTCTTGACTTCTTCGACTTTGAGTTTGCTCGAGTTTCGACGCTGCTGATCGAGTGGTGCCTCCTTCGATTCGAGCCGCCTTTTTATGCGCCTTTTCCCTCCTTCTACTCGCAATTCGGTAACCGCCGGATTCCTTTTTTTTCTTTCTCCTCTCCTGCGTTTACGCACCGAGGCCTTGCCCTCACGAAAAAGACCGACAAATAGATACCACGGGGGCACGAGAGAAAGAGTGATCTACATACGGATCGCTCCATATACGGCGGTCGCTATGAAAATCGAATTAGCATACGAGTCGGAGGTCGGCTTTCGAGACGGCGGCCTCCAGCCTTGACGGACACCTCGGACCCTATCACATGGATGGGCCTTTTTTTTCTCTCTCCATTTCGCTACGTCACGGTGGGATTTTCATTTTTACGAAAGAGACTATGGCGACCAATCGTGAGGGCACTTATCCGACCCTGGCGGTGCACAATCCTTTTTTTCGCCATTTTCGCGGCGTCGCAATTCCTAAGAATCTATGTTTATGATTCATATGCGGATGTAATACTTTCTGATATTTTTTTCTAGTATGGAGAGATAGGGTCTATTTTTTTTTTATCATCGAGGAAATCGATGGAGATGCATCGTAGGGTGTCCTGGGGGTCGTGGACACCTTCCCCAGGGATTATCCTCGGATTTTCATTTTTACGAAAGAGACTATGGCGACCAATCGTGAGGGCACTTATCCGACCCTGGAGGTGCACAGTCCTTTTTTTTCGCCATTTTCGCGGCGTCGCAATTCCTAAGAATCTATGTTTATGATTCATATACGGATGTAATACTTTCTTATATTTTTTTCTAGTATGGAGAGGTAGGGTCTATTTTTTTCTATCATCGAGGAAATCGATGGAGATGCATCGTAGGGTGTCCTGGGGGTCGTGGACACCTTCCCCAGGGATTATCCTCGGATTTTCATTTTTACGAAAGAGACTATGGCGACCAATCGTGAGGGCACTTATCCGACCCTGGAGGTGCACAGTCCTTTTTTTTCGCCATTTTCGCGGCGTCGCAATTCCTAAGAATCTATGTTTATGATTCATATGCGGATGTAATACTTTCTGATATTTTTTTCTAGTATGGAGAGATAGGGTCTATTTTTTTTTTATCATCGAGGAAATCGATGGAGATGCATCGTAGGGTGTCCTGGGGGTCGTGGACACCTTCCCCAGGGATTATCCTCGGATTTGTGATGCTGATAGGAATGCGCTTGTGTTCGCTGGGTATCTTCATGGTACTCTGGTCCAGGTCACGAGATGACCGGATTAATTGGTCGAAACTTACGAGGGGGATTTGTGTCACGTATCGTTTCTGGGTCCTGACGAGACTAGTTTAACGGATTGCGCGAAGTGCGTTACTCAACCGACATGTAACCAGGGTAAGCAGTCAACGTAACTGCGTGACTACGAGCTCGGTATCGCAAATAGACCTGCATTATGTAAATGCAATTACCGCGAACGGTGCAGTCGACCCGCCACCCCTGTACAGTAATTAACGCGTTGGCGTCGCATCTTCCTTATCCCTTATCGAAGTGCGCATCGAAATCCAGACTGATATCTATTTACGCTAGTGAACCTGATTACGAGTCGTCCTGTATGACTAAGCGTGGATCAGGGGTCGTTTCCCATGAAACACCCGTGAAACACCTCCTCCTTCGGGACTTTATTCTTAAATAACTCAACAAGGGTTTGATTCTTCAGGATTTTATTTTTCATCACTTAATTCTTCATAATTTCATTCTTCATAATTTAATTCTTCATAATTTCATTCTTCATAATTTAATTCTTCATAATTTCATTCTTCATAATTTCATTCTTCATAATTTCATTCTTCATAATTTCATTCTTCATAATTTCATTCTTCATAATTTCATTCTTCATAATTTCATTCTTCATAATTTCATTCTTCATAATTTCATTCTTCATAATTTCATTCTTCATAATTTCATTCTTCATAATTTCATTCTTCATAATTTCATTCTTCATCACTAGACTCTTCATCATTAATTCTTCATAATTTCATCCTTCACTTGATTCATCACTTAATTCTCCATCCCTTTACCTTTCCTCACTTGAATCTCTCGCAGATCCTCGAGTCCTTGGCTTTATCCGGACGTAGAATGGCAGAAGAGCTTCAGGTTGGGGGGCTTCGAAGTGGTCCTCCGACCTTGGGGTCGCAGGATCGGGGGCAGAAGAGCGCGGCAGGGGCCGACTATAAGAAGCGTCCCGCCTCGAGATGCTGCATTCAAATCCCCGAAGAATCGAGGAGTACCCACTCGTCACCCAGGAGGTCCAGATCCCAGAAGAACCCTCGCCATGTTCAAGCTCGCCCTGCTGTTGGCCCTCGCCGCCTGCGCCTTGGCTGCACCTGCACCTGGAGTCCTGCCGGTCGTGGCAGCAGCTCCCGTCGCCGTGGCTCACCACGTCCCAGTGGCCACCAGCTATGCCAACACGTACAAGGTCTCGGTGAAGACGCCCGTCGTGGCCGCAGTCCCCGTGGTGAAAACCGCCCCCGTGGTGGCAGGACCAGTCGTGGCTGCAGCACCTGCCTACACCTACGCTGCTCACGCTGCACCTGTGGTTGCTCACGCTGGACCTGTGGTTGCTCATGCTGGACCTGTGGTTGCCCATGCTGCACCGGTGGTTGCCCATGCTGCACCTGTGGTTGCCCATGGTGCACCGGTGGTTGCCCACGCTGCACCTGTCGTCGCCCACGTGGCCGCAGCTCCTGTCGTCGCAGGATACGTCCACTGAATCTGAATATCGCCCTCCTTCTAGTCAACCCGCCTCGATTCTACATTCGACTGCATTAATTAAAAACTCATTGATCGCAATAAACACATTTTCTCAACAGACATTTGCTCTAATCCATCCCCCTTCCATAATGACCGAAGAATTTGAACCTCCCCCTAAGATACGCTAACTTAAAATCTAACGCCTTAAACAGTCTTAACACTAGATACTTAAATAAGGCCTTAACAATTTCTTAGTATTAATTTAATCTTAAAAATACGGCGAACTAAGGAGACTCGCTGAAGTCCTTTTCTTCAGATTCAAGGACGAGCGTCGCTTTGGAAGGTATGGAGGTCCCATAAATGAATGTCAGCCGGTCCCTCGCCTTCCCGATAACGATCTCAGCCCCAGGGCGAGTGTTCATCTCGTACATCGGGTACTTAATAATTACAAAAGGTGCTCATGTACACTTGTACCGCAATGCATCTCCTGTAATCCGAAGATCCCCTTCTGCCGAGTCTGTCCTACCCTCGCGTCGAACTCTCCGCGACGTCCTGGACGTTTCTTCGACAAGAAGGGGGAACGCATTATTATAAATCGCAACATTGGCCGAAAATATTCTCTCCGTAAACTGACCCGCCATGTCGCAAACTGACCTAGCGGACCCAGTTTACTTTTATCCTCGACATCCAGAACGTTCTTGCGCAAACCGCGAGACTTTCGGCCGCCATATTGCTCGCAGTGATTCCGGTCTTATACAACGGGGTTCGGCTGTTATGCCAGGTCGCTTTCTTCTCATAACTCGATGACTGGGGTCGATCCGTCATTCGAGTCACGCTACGAGACGTGAGCAAGCCTCTTGCGTGACTATTAGCCATTCCAGAATGTGTAACTCGTAGAATTCCCGATGGAAGTGTCGCCGATCGAAGGTTGCAGCGTCGATCGATTGATCAGCGATCTCGAGCTCGAAATAGCAGCCTCCGATTTTCTGGGCCCTCTCGGGTTACCAAACTGGTGGTGCCGCAACCTGAAGTGAAAGGGCCCGATCTTGAGCTTCCCTTTCTTCCCTTTCTCGACTCTTCGCGGGCACCGCTCTTCACCTTAACTCCGTTCTTTTCGCAACGGACGGGCGAATAATCGACTCGCCAGAGAACGAGATACTTTCCTAAAGGATTCCCCCGTTGATTTACGGCCGCCAAGTTTTCACTGCGCATTCCCAAGTGCAAGGATATTGCACTCTCGTGGTTGCCGTGCAAGTTCTCGAGGCGACGCCAAGTGCATCGCGCAGCCATGGCGAAGGACGCCAAGATGATGAAAAAAGAAATCCCTCCAGTCCTTTCTCGACGCGAGTCGATCGGTACCAGTTGAGAAAAACTCGCTCTATTTCCCTGGAAAAAAAGATATCGAGGAATACTCTGCATTGATGGGGGATTTTTACCTTTTAAGAGACATTTTCTGTGAGGCGGAGGTCGAGTATCGATGGAATCCAAGATGGCCGCCTTGGAAGGTTCCGAGTGCCCTTAGGAAGGAAGCCCCACAATTAATCGCAGATTCTAATACGACCGGCGGATAAGCGGGCGATAAAGCGTCTGTAAAAAGGAGAAGCGAGGCGATAACCGACTCACCGTGTGTATATGCGGCGTCGGTGCGGAGAATTCAAGGCCTAGGTGAACGAACCTGCGGAATCGCCAATGGCCGCCAGCATCCCGACATCCTTCGCACGGGCAACCGGTCGCTCCAGGTTTCCCTCGAGGACTGGAAAAATTCGGCAAAAGTATCGAGAAAAGAGAGCGTCGGGAAGCTCCTCCATGCACCGTGCATTCAAACACGGCGCTATAATGAGTATCAGCCCGCGCCTCTAGCGGAAGAATCTCCAAGTTGATAGCAACCTCGATCGGTAGAAAGAATCCTGCTTACCAACGTTCGATTCTCGATTCACACTTCGCAGACGTAGGCACAGAGCAGAGTCGCTTGGGTATAGGGTTCGCGTCGTCGTCGTCGGATGGCGCCACTGTGCAGCGAGAGTGGAAGCGAAGAATTCACAACATGACCCACAGGGCATGGAGAGGTAAAACACGAAGAGGAATAGGATTTTCTTTATCTAAAGCGAAGATAAGGGATGGTTGGAGGTGCGCGAGGGCGCCGCTAGTGCGAGGGCGCCACAGTTCGGGTTCCAAGTTCTCGTCTCGGCCGAGGGATGGCGTCAGTCTAGAGGGCCGCGAGGATCGGGGCGAAGACTGCACGCAGGGACCCACAGGGACCAGTCGGGCAGCGGCAGGGCGGCTCATCGCCATTTTGTTTATTTTCGCGAAGAAGTGGAGTGCGAAGGAGAGCGGAAAACGGAAAGCGGAGGTGTTCTCGAGCGTTCCTCGGGTCGTAGAGATCGGGCAAAGGAAGAGCCCGACTGAGAGCTCGAGCCAGCCGCGGGGCCGGGCCACGGGGGAGGCTGCAAAAGCCGGGCCGACCGGGGCGACCGCGAGCCTTAGACGGCTCCCAGCTCCGAGGAGAGGGCTCGAGCAAAGAGCGTGCCAGAAGGAACCGCCGTGTCGGGACGCGATTCGTCGGGCCTGGTGCACCGAGCGTGCACACCACGGTGCCGGTGCGCGCGTTCCAGTCTGCGAAGCCTCAACGGAAATCTCGAGGCGGACCCCGTCGACGAGGGGAGCGGGGGTGTCCGGGTCGGAAGGTCCTCCGGAGCCGCGGCGCAGCGCTCCGTTTCTGCGACCTGGCGCGACGTAAGACACTCAACCTTCCGCGACGGAGTGAACGTTAGGTACGATTATTGTTATTTCTTTTAAAGGCACTCATACTTGCTCGGGTTGTTTATTCTCCGGCTGCTTTTTTCTTCCACCAGGTCCGTGACAGCGACGGCGAGCCGAGGCAGTGGACGTTGCAGAAATTGGGCGAATCGCGAGCAAGTACCAATCGTCGCCGTCCTGTAAAACAACGTCACCGTCCGAGCGCGAGGACAGGCCGAACAAGGCTGTCGGCAAGCTGGAGCCCAAGAAAGATTTTACGCTGGTCTTGTGCGCCGTCCGGCATAGACGGCGACAACTCTTCTTTAAACAGGAGTTCAACACGGCTCGCAAGACAGCCACTGTCACCGCGTCGGATCAGGAGGAAGACGTTCCGGTGGCTCTTGCCGTCACCGAGGTACCCTGTGCAGACAAGACGACCGTCAACATTGGCTTCAAGATGAATCACGTCAACGACAAGGACAACTTGAATCAGCTTAATACGATCCCGGTGCCTGTCAACGATGTCGAGGATATGGACACACAAGAAGGTGAGTTGTGGCTGCAAAAGTAATATTATTTCACTTTGATGAGGAATTAAGGATGTCTTTTATATGTATGTACGATCGATGTATTGTATTTTATTGGCAAGTGTCAGGGTACTTAACCACATAACCTAATTCTTGGACTTAGCTCTTTGTTTCGGGTAGTCCTCAATTGTTCTGTCAAAGCCCAAATGTCGGTTGGCAGAAATACTGTTTGTTCTTATTTGAAAAGAGGTTTTAAATTGTTAACGGTGTTTGAAATTATTTAATATTATGAGTGCACGATGAAAATCTCAGGGTTAGATTGCTTGTCTTCCTTTGTCATAAGTTTTCAAGTACGACACTTCATATGTACGGTTTGTTGGTTATTCAGAAACCCCAAACGATGGTGGAGGCGATGGGACCGAAGCTCGTCCTATCAATGGTGAATTGGAACTTGCTTGTGTACAAGATCAAGACATGGAGGAAGGTACATGGATTGTTTTATTCTTTTGCTGATTATAAGTAACATTGCGGTGGATTGTGTGGAATGAATGATAATTCTTGTCTGGTAGACGAAGCCCGCTCCGAAGCAACCTTTCGCTACACGGTTGAGAATGTTTCAACGATGAGGGAGTCGCAACTCTCTCCACCATGTTATGTCCGCAATCTGCCTTGGAAGATCATGGTGATGCCAAGGACGAGCCAGCCCCAGGAACGACAGCCTCAGAAGTCTCTCGGTTTCTTTCTACAGTGCAATGGAGAGAGCGAGTCCACATCCTGGAGTTGTTTTGCGAATGCTGAATTACGTCTACTTTCATGCAAAGAGAAGCAGGAGCCATTCAGCAGAAGTAAGTCCCTCGATATAACCAAATTCCATTTATGAATGTCACTGCCTCGTACTTAACCTCTAAATTACCATTTCAGAGATTCAGCATCTGTTTTATAGCAAGGAGAACGACTGGGGATTTAGTCACTTCATGGGATGGCATGATGTTTTAGACCCTGACAAAGGATACATCAAAGACGACTCGATCACTCTCGAGGTTAGTAATCATAGCTCTGCGAACAATTTTATCTCTTTTCAGGTTTATTCTCATTGCAAGTGTTTCTTCACAGGTTCACGTAAGCGCAGATGCACCACATGGTGTAAGTTGGGACAGTAAGAAACACACCGGATACGTGGGTCTCAAAAATCAAGGTGCAACCTGTTACATGAACTCTTTACTTCAAACTCTCTACTTTACAAATCAGGTGAGCTCTAATTTAATGTCGTAATCGTAAAACCGAACCAAGCAAGGAAACACGTAAGTAATGTCACTGGGAACCTTGGCTCGCTTGCAGTTACGAAAAGCAGTATACAAAATGCCAACGGAGAGCGATGACTCCAGCAAAAGCGTTGCTCTGGCACTGCAAAGGGTATTCCACGAGCTGCAGTTCTGCGACAAGCCAGTCGGCACGAAGAAGTTAACGAAAAGCTTTGGATGGGAAACATTGGACTCGTTTATGCAACACGACGTACAGGAATTTCTGAGAGTGGTACGATCCCTTACATTTAATTTTAACCCTTCCGATAAATGATGCACAACTCCCAAGGAGAATTATTCTCACGGTTCGTTTCGTCCTCCCAGCTCTTGGATAAGTTGGAGAGCAAGATGAAGGGTACATGCGTCGAGGGTACAGTGCCAAAGTTATTCGAGGGCAAGATGATATCCTTCATAAAGTGCAAAAACATTGACTACAAGTCGACGAGGATCGAGACGTTCTACGACATTCAGCTTAACATCAAAGGGAAGAAGAACAGTGAGTCTCGCCTTCGTTACACTTTAATGATAATATAACGAGACGCGTTAAATCAAATCCTACATCCGTGTTCCAGTCGACGAGTCCTTCGGGGATTACGTTAGCACGGAGATCCTGGACGGCGACAACAAGTACGACGCCGGCGAGCACGGACTGCAGGAGGCCGAGAAGGGCGTCATCTTCAAGTCGTTTCCCCCCGTCTTGCATTTACATCTAATGCGATTCCAGTACGACCCCGTGACGGATTGTTCGGTGAAGTTCAACGACAGGTGAACAAAGCTTCGGATGATCGAGGGCGGTGCAAGGCTGACGTGGGTCAGTTTAACGTTCCTTCCTCCCTCTTCAGGTTCGAGTTCTACGAGAAGATCAGCCTGGGGCCGTACTTGCAAGCCAAGGAGGCGACCAACGCCGATTACACGTTACACGCCGTCCTCGTCCACAGCGGAGACAATCACGGAGGCCACTACGTAGTCTTCATCAACCCTGCCGGTGACGGAAAGGTCGGTCGCGCGGTCCATTAGAAAAATATGCTTTCCCTCTCCCGATCGATGCAACGCTTTCGAGAACCCTGCCTGGAACATTATATCCCCTAGCTGATATTACGAGGCTTCTTTAATGTGCCGTAACCCTGGTCTAATTGAATTCCTCCCGGGTCTCTGCGTAGTGGTGCAAATTCGACGACGACGTGGTCTCTAAGTGCACGAAGAAGGAGGCCATCGAGAACAACTACGGGGGCCAGGACGAGGACATGTCGATGGCGGTTAAGCACTGCACCAACGCTTACATGCTGGTCTACATACGGGACTCCGAGCTGCATAACGTCCTGCAAGAGGTCACTGAGGAGGACATACCTCAAGAGGTCAGAAACGTCCTACAAAGGGAGCTTTCCCAGGAATTGACCGAGCTTGAGCGCGACAAAGACTCGACCGACGCGAATCAGGAGACCCACCCGGAGGGCGCCAATCTCCGTCCCTGCACGCAAAACCCTCGCAACCCCAACTTGTACATCCACGACTTTTAAAGACGACCCTGACGAGGCGCCTCGTAGAGACGGGGAGGATTATCCTTGCCCCGGGAAGGCCGGCGCGGAAAAACGGGAGCTTGCCCCAACTTCCACCTCCTCCTCCCACCTACCCACCACCCTGATCCGGCTATGATTTTCAGATCGATCGGACCCTACCCCATTCCTTGTGTTACTCCTTTGCGGAGGAATTTCTATTAATGTGTAAATCAATTGCATTTCCTTTGCTCGGCCTCTCGAGCTGATTTGTTGGGCGGAGCGACGAGTAGTTTTGCGTGCGCTGGACGGGCGCTTTTTTTTACTGTGACTTTTTTCTTTTCTTTTCTTTCCTTTCGATGACTGACGGGACTCTCTCGCGACTCGAAGGAAGGCACTGACTCTGGGGGGGATTCGATGGAGACCCTGAAGAGCGTAGGAAATCGAAATTTAGAGAACGTTTTACCAAAAATTGCATTTGCTAATCGGTGAGAAATTGTTTTTTAGGGAAACCCTGAAGAGCGGAGGAAATCAAAATTTAGAGAACGTTTTACCAAAAATTGCATTTGCTAATCGGTGAGACAAGGTTTTTTAGGGAGACCCTGAAGAGCGTAGGAAATCAAAATTTAGAGAACGTTTTACCAAAAATTGCATTTGCTAATCGGTGAGAAATTGTTTTTTAGGGAGACACTGAAGAGCGTAGGAAATCAAAATTTAGAGGATGTTTTACCAAAAAATTGGATCAGACCCGTTGCTAATCTGAGAAATTGTTTTTTAGAGAGACTCTGAAGAGCGTATAAAGTGGAATTTATCGAAGGTTTTATGAAAATTGGGTATTATCGCTCGTACACCTTGCCGACCTGTGAACAATTTTTTTTTTCCTTTTTTAAGAGGCCCCGAAGAGAGCATAGAAAATGTAATTTAGCGCGGGTTAAAAAGTAATTAATTTAAAATCACTCGAATGCCTGAGCACTGAAAATGAAAATTTAGCATAGAGTTAAAGTCGGTTATCGTGTCGTTGAAAAAATAAAAAAAATTAAATGCAAAAGGGTCTTCAGGGCAATGTACACCTTTCGTGTTCAGGTACGAAGTATTGGTCGGTACTTTAGGATATGGTGATGGATGACGAGGACGCTTTTTGGCGGTTCTTCCTGAGCTCGGAGGGCATTTTAATCCTTGGGGAAGATCCTTGCTCGGGTTTCGAGAGTCGGGCCTGACTTCGACCTTGCAATGACGAAGACAAATTGTCGATTGACTGCCGACCGTTGTACTCGAGGACGACGGTCCCTAGGACAAATTAGATGTTCCCAGGATATCGCATGAGTCCTTGCGAGGGGAATTATTAAAAGGGAATGAAAAAGGAGCTGAATGGTCTCGAGTCGACGAGAGACCGGCTCGCGAATGCGAAATGATAATTGCGAGGGGAAAAAGAAATACAGGTGCCTGCGCCCATATATATATATATATTACCAAGTCACATGAATTAAAATATCGTGCATACAAGAAATTACAAGGCAGATGTTAACGATAACAGATGTTAAAGATAAGTAATATATTTTAGCAACACCAGGCTTCTTCCTTAATACGTCTTCTGATACGATATATTTGTTATTTAATAGGACTGTTTAGTGAGTTCGACTCTTACGAAAGAAAGATAAAGAGAGAAAGAGAGAAAGAAAGATCTTTAGCGACCTCCACGATTTGAAGGAATGGAAAAAGAGAGAGAGATGCACACTTATACACACACACACGCGCGCGCGCGCGCGTACACGCAAGTCATTTATTTAAATTAATTTAAATCACCTCCCGATTAGTCCTTTAAACTAAATCGAATCACGCCAGGCGGTGAGTTAGTAAATTCCTTTCGATGTCGATTACCCAGGAGTTTAACGGATGCTTATCTATTTATTTGTTGTTACGTATTAATAAACCGAAGAATAATGTACAGAGCACATTCGTCTGGACGGAGCACATCATTTTGTCTAGACTGTCTCGGTGTCCCTTTCAAAATGACGGCTTCGTCGATATTTTGTATATAATATTGTTTACATATTACATATTATAGGGATATATGTATGATATCAGATAAGGAGATATACGTCTCTATCGAATCTCATGGTCGGTGAGCAATAAATAAAGCTTAGGCATTTCGAGCCGCTAGTCTCGTGGTACGCGCTTACGTTTGTTTAATTATTTTTCTTTTCTTTTTTAAATAATCTTTAGATAAACTTCTTCGTTCCGTCTTCTTTCAAACTCACTTCCGGTGTGTAGAACTCACGGAGAGATTTGTCCCTTGGCCCGTTAGCGTCTCGCTTGTTAATGTTATTGTCATTCGTGTAAAATGTCCCTTCGTTTTGGTTTAAATAATTTTTTTTTTTTTTTTTTTTCGGGGGGGAAATTATGCGGTCGGACACTAAGGGGCCAAGTGCTTCGAAGAGTCCCTCCGGCTGCTCAAGTGATGCATTACGAGTTCATTATTGTTCAGCATTCTACGAGGATCCTCGATGACTTCTTTCCAGGATGTTTCGACTCGGCAGAGAGGACATCTAGAGAGAGATGATAATTAGAGTCGTGACTTAATGTAGGGTGAATTTAAAAAACGCAAAAAAAAAAACAACCCCCCCACTGTAAAGGGTTGCGAGCCTTTCCTCGCCGCTGCGACCCTGTCGAAAGAGTGCCGTCGAATGATCTTTGCCCTTTTATTTTCTTTTATTTAATTTTCTTTATTAGAAACTAATGCTGAATAATGTTGAGTTTGTAGCGTCATTTGGCGGTCTTACACGGCGGATGAACAAAATTAAAATTACACGGATGTGCACGAGAGCACGGGGGACACCTCGTCTCGTCTTTTTGAGTTCTCGAGGCCTAAGAGAGTGTTGGCGATTCTTTATCAAATCTGGAGTTGAAAATAAGAAACAAAAAATAATAAAAAAGAAATTCGGACCGAGAGAGATGACCGGTGACGTGGAGGAAATTCACAGGAGAGAGAGAAATTGAAATGAAAAGAGAGAGAGAGAGAGAAAAAAAATTGGAAAAAAAAATAACAAGTAAATAAGAAGTATAAAAAGAATGGAATGAAACGTTCTCGACACCTGGATAATTTTAATTTTGTTGGTCCTAGCTGGTGGAGAGGCTGCAAGAGGAGAAGAGGCTGGAACAGATTCGAAGGAAGGAGAGAAACGAAGCGTACTTGTACATGACTGTTAATGTCCTCCTGGAGGACAACTTTAACGGGCACCAGGGCAACGATCTCTACGACCCGGAACGGGCCCTATATCGTATATTTAGGGTCCGCAAACAGGCTACCTTGCACGAGTTTCTCGAGCTCCTCAGCGACAGCCTGGTAAGTCTTAACCGAGAAAGAGAGAGAGAGAGAGAGGAGAGTGCTCTTAGCGCGAGTTCTCCTCTTCGGGGTGCCTGGAGAACCGGCGCGGTACCTGGTTAAACGGCCCGGAAGGTGCGGATCTGATTAGACTTTCCCCGCAGAAATACCCCATAGAGCAGATTCGCGTTTGGCCGTTTAGCCTGAGATCCAACCAGACCTGCAGACCGACCTTGATAGAGCCCGAAGCGGACTTCCAGAAGGCCATGACGGACTGCGCGGAGAACATGAACCCCTGGAACGTCTTCGTAGAGCTGGGCCCACCTGACTCCGGACTCTCGGCTCTGCCATCATTCGACAAGGACACCGACGTCCTCCTCTTCTTCAAGCTCTACGACCCGAAGAGCAAGAAGATCCACTATTGCGGCCATCACTATATGCCAGTCGCTGCCAAAGTTCGTGAGTATTCCGGGATCATTTAGGATTCTGATGAAGGGTGTCACGGGGGAATGTGGATTAAACTCTTCGTGGTCACCTTGCAGAGGAACTCGTGCCCATCCTGAACGAGCGCGCCGGGTTCCCTCTGGACACGGAACTCGTGCTGTACGAGGAGATCAAGCCCAACATGGTGGAGAAAATCGAGAGCCTTACCGAGCCCTTGGAGAAGGTCCTCGAGGAACTCATGGATGGGGATATCATTGTTTTCCAGAAGGAGGAGAGGGACAACGAGATGTATGAACTACCTACGTGTCGGGATTACTTCAAGTAAGCTGTTGGAGGGAGTGGTGGTGTTTCTTAACGGGCTGGTACTGAACAATCGGTTGCGCATCTTCAGGGACCTGTTCTATAGAATGGAGGTGACCTTCTGCGACAAGACGATACCGAACGATCCAGGGTTCACCATGGAGCTTTCCCAGAGGATGACTTATGACCAAATAGCCAAAGCTGTCGCGCAGAGGGTCGGGACGGACCCCTACCTTCTGCAATTCTTCAAATGCCAAAAGTAGGTTGCGTTGGGTTAGAAGGATCTTCCTAGGTTGGATGAATTCGAGAGGGCTGGCATCTATTTTGAACGTTGTTTTTATTCATCCGAGCCTTGAAGAGGGTAGCTGAAGAGCGACGTTTTCTCCACAGCTACAAGGAATCGCCCGGCCACCCGCTGAAGTGCACCTTCGAGGGGACCCTCAAGGACATCGTCACTTTCTGCAAGCCAAAGACGAGGAAGATCTTCTACCAGCAGCTCAGCATCCGAGTTAACGAGCTGGAGAACAAGAAGCAGTTCAAGTGCACATGGGTCGGTCCGTCCTTGAAGGAGGAGAAGGAGATCATCCTCTACCCTAACAAGAACGGCACCGTCGCCACGCTCCTCGAGGAGGCCAAGAAGCAGGTCGAGCTCTCGGAAAATGGGTCCGGGAAGCTGAGGATACTCGAGATCAACAGCAATCGACTGCTACCCGGCCCGAAGGACGACGTTCCCCTGGAAAATCTCAACACCTCGGGCAACAAGATGTACAGGATAGAAGAGATCCCCAAGGACGAGCTGGTCCTGGCCGACGACGAGATGCTGATCCCAGTCGCGCACTTCCACAAGGACGTCTTCTCCACCTTCGGCATCCCCTTCCTGTTTAAAATAAAACACGTGAGTCGGCGACCTCCTGTCGGCTACTTCTACCCGGGTCTAACTTCTCTCTATTCCAGGGCGAGCCCTTCGCGAAGATGAAGGAGAGGCTTCTGAAGAAACTCGGCGTCCAGGAGAAGGAGTTCGAGAAGGTAAGCACTCACTTTCGATCGCCCTTGCCGTCCGGTAGGAATTCATAAAAACTTTCAAAGTTTAAGTTTGTCGTGGTCGCGGTGAGCAAGCCGCAGTTCATCATCGACGCCCCGGAGTACTGCATCGATCTCACGGACTTCAAAGTTAATCCGAACCAGAGTAAGTAGCCAGAATGCGACGTCCTCGAGGGGCTTTGCGTGCGTCACGGTGGTCCACCATCATGGCTCGATTCTGTAACTCGAATCCGGTGAAAATGCCGAAAGTGAACGTCTCCCGCGAGACTATAACTTCCGCCGAGATGAAAATGCGAGATCGCCTCATGGTACGTGTCGCATTTTCACCCGGGTGAGGAAACTCACGGGAGTTATGGCGAGGCGAGGAAATGAGCGCTCTCGGTGATCATATGGAATCGAGCCCCTGGCCTTCCAGGAGACCTGGAGGACCTCGGGACGGTGCGAAGCACCTCCTGGACGGTCTTTTTTAATTCTCGAGATGAGAGTCCACGCGCTGAAGAGCTGACGAACGAAAAACGTTCTAGCCTATCCACTTTTGAACGCAGGCACGGCGCAGCAGAGGCCTTGGCTCGGCCTGGACCACGTCAACAAAGCGCCAAAGCGGTCTCGCATCAACTACCTCGAAAAGGCCATTAAGATATACAACTAAAGAACTCCATCGTACCGGGGAGAGTTTCTTTTTTTTCCTACTTTTTTTTTCCTTTTTTTTTCTTTCTAAGGCAGCGATACACACCCACGAGTGCGCGAGACGAAAGAGAGAGAGAGAGAGCGAGAGAGCGAACGAGCGAAAGAGAGAGCGAGAACGAGGATTTAAAGCGAGGAAACATGCATGAGAACACGTAATTTATATACGAGTCCCTGTATAATAAGAAGGAGCGACACTTCTGCCACGCTATTTCGTTATATAGAACTTCTGCGGGGCCCCGGAACCCTGAAGAGGCGCGCCCCGAGGTTTTAAATAACATTTAAAAACTAGTTACTATCGACATTTATTAGAGGGTAACCTTTGCGAGCATTCTGTACGATGGACTTGAAGAGACTGCAAGAGAGAGAGAGAGAAAGGGTGCGAATTAGAGCGGTAGCGATCGCTGCTCGCATCGCTCGTTCGAAAAGGGCGCGCAAAGCGGAGCGGCCGCCATCTTTGTTCGCCGGTTCCTCGTAGACGAGTACTCGGGAGGGCGATGACTTTTCCGAGTTTTCCGGCATTCTCGGAGCTTCTGGATGGGCCGTGCTCCCTGTAATCTCTACCGGACTGTCCGTTGATCCTTATTCGACGAGCGAGGGACGATCCCGTGGTCTTATAATCGTCCTGTGGGTGGAATCGTCCCGAACCTTTTAGATCCTGATGAGAGTCCTTACGACGCGAGACCGACTGCGAAATGCCTGACTCCTAGGCCTTTCCTTTGAATGTTTTTCTCTCTTTTTTTTTTTTATACAGTCCTTTCAATTCTCTCCCGATCACCGACAAATTCAAGATTCGCGAGATATGTATCCTTGCGGCTGCGATTTAATATATTATTCGTTGCATCTGTTGGGTCGCCTTTAAATCCCCATCGGCCTGACCGGTTTCGAATTTCTTTTCACGTACTCTATCCTCGATTCCATTGACTTTCCGTTCTCGGCGATTCGTTCTGGACGTATGCGTGTCCTAGAGGAGGACGAGGCGCGAATCCTTTTTTCGGACCATCTTATCACTTTTATTCGGCATTCTTTTCTCCACTTTTAGTTTCGCCTCCCTCGTTTCGACTTGATATATTGTATTATTCGCGCCGTCGACGAGCGTGTGTGCGTATGTCAGTGCGTGTGTGTCTGTCTCTATGTGTGTGCGTGTACATACCTCGTTTCTCTGAGTTACTGTTACCGAGAAGCTATTTTACGTCGGCTCGCTTTAACGTTCAGACCATGGACACACGCCTAGGGTATTTTACGAAAATCCTTTGCCGAGCCGTACATCGATTTGTTTTTATTTCTTTTTTTTTCCCCTCATGTGGTTTTTTTCTTCGACATAAGTTATGTATACACATCCCCTCTCGAGCTGCGTTAAGCTAATATTTCATTCGAGCTATCGATACGCCAGTAGAACTTGAATTTACCGAATCAAATTCACGCCATTGTCGCTGTAATGTATATACTACGTATATAGGACGTTCAGAGAGATAGGGAAACCGCGGATTCCCCTCGTAATTATATATAATTCTCTCTTTCTCTCTCTTTCTCTCTCTCTCTGTTACGAGGGCAGCATTTATGTTATGTGGAAATTATTATGTTATACGTTCACGAGGTCGGTGAAATTTTTCGTATTTCCTACGTTTCATGGATGCGAACGGACGACTCGATGGAGGCGCTTGCGAGTGAAATGTTAGCTTAAAGGAGAGAAAAAGAAGCCCGAGCCGCCTTTTACGCCTCCACCCTCTGTTCCTTGATTTAGCGAGAAGTAATATACAATCTGCTTTTCTTCCCCCTTTTACCATTTTATTTGTAAGCGTCTCGAGAGCAGCTTTGCTCGTCCCCTCGCCGATTCTTCGACCTTCGGCCGCGACTCTTCCTCTTTCAAGAAACTCGGTAGAGTTTCGAGCCAAATACATTTTTGAGCGAGAAACTCGTTTATATATACACACACACACACACATACATTATCATTGCGCATTATTGTAAAGCTATTTGGAAAAATTATTTTCGTTATTGCAACTCCCCCCTGTGTGTACGTTTTTGCACGGCTTGCCACTTCTTCTTCTTCTTCTTCTTTTTATTTTTTTTTTTTTGTACAGCTCTTTTTACCGCCGAGTCGCGTTATGTCGAGTGCTCGAGGCGCGCGATATGCGTTATATATAAATATATATATTATATATATTATATATATAAAATATCAATACAGCGGCAGATGAACAAAATGCACCGACACGCGAGACGTTCGTCCAGTGTCGATTAGTACTATTAATAAAATTAATTGTTAAGGTGTTATGAAAGGATCATTAATATGTACATCGAAACGTCAAATTATTTATGGAAAGTATTCTCGAAACCGTATGCGCCGAATCATTTGAAGAATTGTCTCAAATTATCGGGGCTCCAAGAAGGTACCCGATGGTCGTGAAATTTCATTTTTCTTTCTTCCTTTCCTTTTTTTTTTGTCTAATTTTATTTATCCCAGGTTTGAACCGAGGATACTTATTTTTTTGCTTGGTTGAAAAATGATATTTCACGAGCATCGCTTTTCCTCGGGGCCTTCGTAATCTCGTGCTGAATTTTTTAATGACCAAGTGCACTCAGTGGGAAGGTTTTATAAATATTTGGATGTTTTATATGTGTAATGTATAATGATTTTTTGATGATAACTTGAAAGCGTCGATATCGCGATCCGGCGAGGATTCGATTTCAATGGAAATTAGAACGCATCTGTCGACGGCTTATTAATGATCGTTGACTATAATAATGGCCCGTCGTCGATTGGGATATAGCGAAGGAGAGCCGTCATTTCTAAATTTCTCACTAGCTATTAACGACTTCACTTAGAAAACGCTGCAGCCTGTATATCGCTCTACGAGATGAATTAATGCGCTGTCGGGTAGTATTATTAAGGATTATTAACGGTTTTATCGATAACGTAGCGAGGCAGGACCCTGGCGCGAAGGAAGGCCCTTGGGAGAGTGAAGAAGGGAAGAAAAAGAAAAAAGAAAAGCGAAAAGGAAGAGAAGAGTCGTCGAGAAATTGGAGCACCAATCGCGGCGTCGGTCCTACTCCTTTTAGGGATATCTTCCTAGGCATGCGCTCTGCTGCATTTCTAAATTGCATCCACGTGGCACTCGTCTTAGGATTATTTTGTAGACACCCTGAAAGAACGAGAGAAAGAGAGAGAGCTGTTTTATAGGAGTAATTAAATTATTTTGTTAACTTAGCTGGATAATTTCGCGTACGGTTTCCTGCGGCGAGGCGGCGCGTCACTGCTTGGGCGTCTCGCGCGTTTACACATATTATTTATGTAACAATTCATCTCTTACGGGGGCGATCTCGCACGGAATTCCGGAATCGGTGAGTCGAGGATGCGGATAGATCGGGACGACGATCGGTGGGGAGAGTTGTCGAGTTTAAACGCTATTAATCCGATTTTGTAAGGGTAACCAAGATGCGCGCACGCGGCGCGACACTAAGAGCGATTGTCTCGTCAAGGCGAGATTTACTGGCACGATGCGGGTGCAATCGTTTAATATTAATGAGGATTATTAACGAGGGGGAGGCTTGTCCTTCCTCTCTCTCTTCTTCGATTGTATGATATTAACAGTAATCCACGATACGACGCCGAGCGCGAGCACCGTGAATATGTCATGGAGGAGGCGCCATTGCACTCTCTCTGTAATGTTAATTGTAAACCGTGAATTTTTGTATTTTCCATTAGCAGCCTCTTTTTAGCTGCTAGAGAGGCTCCGCTCGGCTCAGACTCGAGATAGACAATGCAGTAATATCGTTGTGCCGAGCTTTTGTGCTAATTAAAACGCAACGGACCGCTTGCGTGCGCAAGTGGGAGGAATATGTTATAATAAAAATTCAAGTGGAAAAGGAACTTGGCATTCGGATGAGGAGGACCCTCCTTATCGCCCGTGGGAAAGGGTCGCCTTATCGGGGGACATGATAACCGCGCGAGGATTTCTTCTTTTCTTTTATTTATTTTTTTTTTTTTACCGCGGTAAAATAGTAATTAATGGTAATTATTGCGCACTCATGAGTCTTCGAATTTCCAGGTTGAGGCTCGATTACTCCTGGATTTTCTCCCGACGGGGCTGCCCGGTTATCTGAGACTTTCTGGAAAAATGAACCGACCGGACTGGTACATAAAACTTGAATTGCTGTATGTACCAGGAGAAAGTGCAGCTACGTACAGAGGTGGGTAATTGTAGGTAAGGCTGATCGATATTTTTCCTGCTCGAGAACTCGAGGCGCTCGGTTACTTCTGGATAGTCCGTGGGAGCGATTCGGTGTGTATTATCTTATGTAGTCCTTGGATTGCGATATATTCATTATCGTCTTTTTAGTGGCTGGTGTTTTTCGTATTTACTTCTTTTAGGAACTGAGAGCTACGTGGCTCGCAGATCTATCTTGTCGAGGCCCGACGAGTGACTTACAGTACGTGAGTTATCTCCTGCCTGTATGTCGTGCCTTCTTTTTTTTTCGTCTTAAGAATGTATACAGTGTTCTTGTCCCCCGCGCGTGGTTCTGCGTTGTCGTAGAGTCTGATTTTCCAATATTTTAAGGATTTTCTGAACCTACGGAAGGGATGCGCGTCTCTCCTCTTCCTCTACTTGACCTCGATTTTTTACAATTAATTCCCATTTCAGTGATTGTATAACATAGTTCCTAGTAGGAAAACGTGTTTATATAGTTTTCGTGCTTGCATTTCTACGAGGAATCGCGTATTAACGATATCTTTGGACGTTATTTGCGATAAATGCGGTTTGGTTTTTCGGGTTTGAAGGGCCGCCATTTTGGTTTTTTTTTTCGGCGTCAGCCATGGCCGCGCACTCGCTTTTCCATTTCATGATTTCTTTACGAGGCGGCCGATATTTTTCTCATTCGTTCTCTGTCGGCGAAGCTTTACTCACGTTTATCCTCTCTTTAGGTTTTTTCCCTGGCTTGGCGAGAATCGCGCAACGCGAGTCGTGTTACTAACTCTTATCGCGTTTCAGATAACCTCAAAATGACGGTCAGGTGTTCGAGCCTCTACGGCTCGCGATTGGTTAGGAACCTTTTCAAACGACACTTCGAACCTATAAAAGGACTCCTCAGTTGGCGGGAAACGCACGGCAATCTACGCAATTCACGTGAAAGTTTCGAAGGGCACTCTGTCGCTACTTTTTATCGTTCCGCAAGTGTGAGTATGCAAACCGTTGATCTCCTAGTTTTTATCAGAATTTCGACGATATCCAGATTTCGAACTTTCTTGTAATTGTAGATTTCGTATTTATAGATTTTATATGCATTGTTTTAAAGTAAAAGATTTAATTGGAGGCTCTCGATGTACAAGAGTTTTGTTTTTTGGCTCAGTTATGTTTGTTCGATCCTTGGATTTCTTTGACGCAAGATACGTCATTAGGAGAGTTTAGCAATACTTTCTGCAATACTGTGTACGCTTTGCGGCATTCGATCTCCTCTGGAAATAACGAATGGGTATTATAGTATCTTTGGGAATGCCAAGAGACAACGTAACGATTACGTACAGCATACCATTGCACCACCCGTGGAGGGTTATCACTTGGCCCGACCCCTTCTGACCTGCCAATGTGTGTCAATTTTATATATTATATCTTCGATGAGGTTCGCTTGTTATTTGATGCCCAGTTCCCTGTCGGTGACTGACAAGTAAATTTGCATTGGAGAGAAGGTAACGAAGACTGATTTAGTTTAACGGAGTTCTTCTTTTGTAGACCATGGCTGGATTAATTCATCAAAATGTTTGGGAAAGCGACCCGGAGCTCTTTGAACTCATGAAGAAAGAAAAGAAGCGGCAGGAGTCGGGGCTCGAGATGATCGCCAGTGAGAATTTCACTTCTCTCAGTGTTCTCCAGTGTTTGAGTTCCTGCCTGCATAATAAGTACAGTGAGGGACTCCCTGGACAACGGTTAGTTCCCTTGTATCTCAGTGCTATCGGCTTAAGGAGGAGGTTCTGCATTCATTACATACTTCCGGTGTAACAGGTATTATGGTGGGAACGAGTTTATTGATGAGATCGAGTTGTTGGCTCAGAAACGTGCCTTGCAAGCATTTAATTTGAATCCTGAAGAATGGGGCTGCAACGTTCAACCGTATTCAGGAAGTCCGGCAAATTTTGCAGTTTACACAGGATTGATTCAGCCGCATGGGAGAATCATGGGTCTGGATTTACCGGATGGAGGACATCTGACGCATGGTGAGAAGACGCAGCTAATGTAACCTAAAATATGCATAATTTTATCCTGTAATCATTTTTTAATTTCTACAGGTTTCTTCACTGCACAAAAGAAGATATCAGCCACTTCGATCTTTTTTGAGTCGATGCCATACAAAGTGAACCCTGGAACAGGACTAATTGATTATGATAAACTGGCTGATGAGGCGCGATTGTTTAAGCCAAAAATCATCATAGCCGGAGTTTCTTGCTACAGCAGGTGTCTGGATTACAAGAGGTTCCGGGAAATAGCTGATGAGAATAATGCTTACTTGTTCAGTGATATGGCCCATGTCGCTGGTCTCGTTGCAGCTGGGATCATTCCTAGTCCTTTCGAATACAGCGATGTGGTCTCAACGACTACACACAAAACTCTCAGGTGTGCTAACGCTCAATTCTTTTTAATTAATTTTTATATACCATGTGGAGTAGCCTTGAAATAATTTTCTAATTGCTAGAGGTCCACGTGCCGGAGTCATTTTCTTCCGGAAAGGAATTCGTGGTGTTAGCAAGACCGGGGAGAAGATCAAGTACGACTTTGAGAGCAAAATCAATCAGGCGGTATTTCCAGGACTTCAAGGTGGCCCACACAATCATGCCATCGCTGGCATAGCTACAACAATGAAACAAGTTAAAACCCCAGAATTTATTGAATACCAGAAGCAAATAGTGGCCAATGCGAGGAGGCTGTGCAGCGGCTTGCAAAAGTTAGGATACAAAATTAGCACCGGTGGCACCGATGTTCACATGCTTCTTGTCGACTTGAGGTCCACCGGAATTACTGGAGCTAGAGCTGAAAAGATACTCGAAGAAATCTCCATTGCTTGCAACAAGAACACAGTTCCTGGAGATAAGAGTGCGCTCAATCCATCCGGTATCAGGTTAGGTACTCCTGCATTGACAACGAGGGGACTCAAAGAGGAAGACATTGACAGGGTGGTTGACTTTATTCACAGAGGTACTTTAAATTCATTACACAGATTGAACCTATCCCCTCGTTGTAATACTTCTGATTCTGTAATATAAATTTTAGGTTTAACATTGTCTAAAGAAATAAGCAAGATATCAGGACCTAAACTGGTCGACTTCAAGGAAACTCTGAAGGACCCTGCGGTTGCCGAGAAGGTTTCGGCACTTCGTAGCGAAGTGGAAGAGTTCTCAAGAAAGTTCTCGATGCCTGGCCTTGAGGAATATTAGAAGGCTGCGATGTCACTTGTAAATATGCAGAGCCTAAAAGTACTCATTTAATATTTTTTTTTAAATTGTCAATAATAATAAAAAGCATCCATTTTCGTAAATACCTGCGAGAATCATCTAAATCAGGATACCCAAATAAAAACTACCAACGCAATTATACAGGGTGATTTATTAAGATTAATGTTTTTCATCGGCAATTTACATCACACGTATCCTGTCAAAAATCAATTGAAGGTTGTAAAACAATCGACATGTTTTACCCTTTGATTCAGGAATCGAATAACTTGCAGATGTTACGTAAAACTCTTTATCGATGATTTAGGAATATACAATGCGACACTTTGCAGGACGTGATAATTCCCAACATTGTGGCAGATTATTTTCCGGATCATTGTTATCCTTTGTTGCAAATTATTCTGCAAATTTCTCAGGGACTCGTCTTCCCGTTATTGCACACATAATCTCTAAAAAGAAGTGACCTCGTTTAAGAATACCCGATTATTACGAATTACTCTAGTTACACGATTTTTAGTTTTTTCCTCTTTTTTTATCTTTCTTTCCCTTTTCCTTTAAGTAAAATTACTCCGCATTCGTTCGCCAGATTATTCCGGCCGATTACACATTTCCGAATAACTCAGCGAGAATTACAGTGAGAGTAAAGAGATACATGATTATCAATTGGGAAATGTGCTTGACTAATGTCCTTAGTACGGTTCTTTTCTTTTTCTTTTCTTTTTTACAATTACACCATTAAAAAAGGAAGAATCCAGGCCCATCGTCCTGAATTATAATTTCATCTCGCGTCCATCCTGGGTACTTCCACTTGGCTGGCTAAATCCCTCGGACCGAGTCATACCAAAGTAAATTAAACAATGTGCTATTTCGTCACTCCCTACGTAACGATATCACGTTGGACAGAACCGACTAGCTGGAGATTAATCGAGTTCCAACGTAGTTCGGGCTGTCGAGGCTGCGTTTCTTTGCTCCTCTTCGGATTCATCGTCTTCCATATCTTTGAAGACTGACTGTAGAAGCGAGCCAAAAAGTCCTTGGTGCCGAGGCCTCGCAGGAGGTATATTGAAGTAGATCTGACCAATTTTGTCGAGATACTGACGATAACACGAGTCTCGATTCAGGCTCAAATGATACTGCTCACAAAGGATTGTAAAGACAGTCAATTTTCCGCTGCAAGGAGAAAAGACTGTTATAGTAGTACATCCTATTTAATGTGTACACAAATAACTGGATACTTACGTTTCGATGGTTCTAAGTAGGAAGTATAAAAAATTCAAGAGGGGAAGCGAGTACGGTGGTCTGCCTACTATCTTTGGATGCTGCATTGTGTACGCATCAAAAGCTTCCTGTGCCGCTGCCTTGTTTTTTAAGCACAGATACCTAAAAGGATGTATTTTAATAATCATTAGCAACTTGAAGAAGTAAAATTGTTTTTCACTTTAGTGGTATTTACTGCAAAACTGCCTGAGCTATGAAGAGGTCCACTTCGTTGGAATATCCACGCTCTTTGTGTAACTCAACAAACATCGCTGCACACCCAGCGCCGTCGTCGCTGTTCAGGAAGTGTTGCTTTGCCAGTATGAAATTTTTTTCTGGAAAAGTGATATGTCAGGATGCGAAGATTTTCCGAGACAGCCTTAAGCGATAGTATGGTACCTTTCCAATATACACGTGCTACTCGCTTGTGCAATTTGGGATGCCCAGTTTTATACTCTGTGCCTTTTGTACTAAATCTAAGTGCTTCCTGTAGAAAAGTTTCCCGCTCGGGATAAGCCGGATTCATCATTTCGAACAAATTAGTTATGTGCTGAAAATATACGGGCTCCGGCACCTCCAGTGATCTGTCCAGGACATTGATATACAGGATCCCAAGGTCCGTCCCACTGGCATACTGCAAGAGGATGAAGAAAAACAATAACATTTCGAAAGCGATAACTGACATGTATCGGATTGACTTTACCTGCTTGATGTGCAGGAAGGTTAGGGCGGCATTGAAAAGTAGCTGTTGTAACACTGAGTACCTTCTTTGGCTCGCGTATCTAGTAAAACATGAAAGTTAGGTTAGGGAAGCAATTGTCACGGGGACGATATCGAGGCGCCTTACCTAGAATATAAAGATCTATACATTTGGTGCGCCTCATAATATTTCCCCTCTCGCATGAAGTTCTGTATTTTTCTTAAAATTCTTTTCAATCGATCACCATGCACCGATTCCATGTTTACTCCGATCTACGTTTAGTACCAGTGGGTGAAAAGTAAGGCCGTGTCCGAAATCGACAAAACTTACACCTAGTATATTCTAGTTCCGTGCTATTCGGAGCTGTCCCGGACCATAGACTACAAACTTGCAAGAACTGCACCGTCGCTTTAATATAGATCGACGAACAAGATGGACAGGTTTGGAGAAACTCCCACGCACGAAGTCAGCGGGTAATTGCCGATTCAATTGGTAAAGTGAACAGTTTGTCCATGCTGAGCACGGAATAATTTTGGTTATGGTCGCCAGGTGATAGCGGAGAAATCTATGCATGGGCACGCTTTGCTACTTATTGCAAATGATTTCTGATTTAATTAGAGAATTGATCAGGGCCTGCTTACTGCCATCGAATCTACTGAATTTTCATAAGGCCGACGTTCCGGAAATGTTGGTTCTTTGGCGACAATGGACGCGGGTTATTCTCGAAAGCCACAAGAAATTTAAGTAAAAAATAATGTAATTTGGAAAAAATAAAAGGTTTTGAATACCCCGCGCTCACTAGCGCTGCGGTGATTTACTCCGGAACTACTGGAAAATTTGGAGGAGGGGGTAGGAGAGTCAGCAGTCTATAAGTATCTCTTGTCTATGACGACGACAGTCAAGAACGACCCAGCAGAGGAGAGGTTGTGCGCGAGCCGTGCTGCGTTCGAGGGTGGTTTGCTGCCTATTGGCGCGGTCTTCCAAGGACAATGACGGCCCACGACCAAATGCGAGCTATGCTCGATCAGCTGATGGGAACAGGACGAAACGGTAATTTATTTGCGATAGGATATATCGATATTTGCGATCGACGGCGTCATCCGCGTTGGCTTTCCTTGGCGTTTAATGGTGCCAACAAGATGGCGGCCGAAAACTTGTATCGACCCGCGTCGCCTCGAAAATGTCGAAATATTCCACTCACGTGCTTTCACTGACTAATTCCAGGTGAGAATAACAAATTTCAAGTGAAATACTCCGACCCGAAAGTCTGCAAGAGCTTCCTGCTGGCCTGCTGTCCGCACGAGATCCTATCGTCGACGGTGAGTATAACCCGCAGGCCGATTATTCGTTTAAAAATGACGCACCCTGGGCACCAGCATTTCTATCTGGAATAACGAAACCGACGTCGCATTTATTCGGTTCGGCCGGAGTTTCAAGCCTTTACAATTGTGCTGTGTTGGATCAAATAATTTACGAGCTTCCGGTCTCCTTTGACTCGAAAGGGGGATAGTTTTTAGAGCTCGGAGAGTTTGAATCGTAGTAGCTATTTTGTTTACGCAAACACACACATTTGTTTCTTGCTTTGGGAATTAAAATTGGTAAGAATCGATACGTAGAATAGGTTATCTTGTCAACCTGGCTGATAACGAGGCATTTAAATTTAAATCGCGTGCGATAGGCATGAAATTGATCTCGATCAGTGAGGATTTTTTTCAAGTACTTTTGAGATAGTCGTGAATATTTTGCCACAGGGTGCTCATATTTGTATTTTTTTTTTTTGTTAACAAGAACTGTTACGTGCGAATTCCTAGGTTCTTTAGAACCTAATGAATGTTTTCCCTTGGCGAGGATTACCTCGAGAGTTGGGAAAAAAAGAAATGGGTGCCGAGGTCGTATAAAAATTCACTAATACCGTTGCGACTGCAGTTCTATTTCCAGAGAGCGTCCAAAAACGCATTACCGATCCGATCCGCTGTACAGATAGCGTTGCGAATATTGTCCAATCGTAATGTCGTACGTACTGTACTTGTCGCTCTCGCATTGCGCGTGTTACTGTAAGTACTGAGTGAGCCACGAAATGGACGTACGTATTTACTACCATTAACCAGATCTACCTTGTTAATTCTATGACATGTCACCCAAGCGAAAAACCCTAGGTGCCGATCGTTCCGATTCTCTGCGATCTCACATGGAAAGTAATAATTTTCTAATGCAGGGACTTTGAATAGTTTCCAAGTGCTGCAGTATTACATCTTGGAGCCATCTTAAAGAGTTCGCTTACTGCGATACCTGTGAAATGTTTCCAGACTTTGTATTAGAGAAGTTATATTTTCTCTGGATCGGAGAATCGAGACCTGCCACCTAAGGCTGGAGAAATTTCATTTCTTTTTCCCCAGACCCTCGAGAGGCCTGTTCTAGCGCGCTTTTTGGTGAGTAGAGTCACGACATCGTCGCTTGACACAAATCAATTTAATACACCGTCCTTATCGAGTCGCTCTCACCGATTCGTTGCAATTGATCGCCGATCACTTGGGGATTCTTAGGACCGGGTCGATCCGTGAGTATGTGTGCTGGACTGTAGCTTATCTATTCCGGGATGATCATGTGGGTTGTGGAATAAAATAGGAAACATCGATTCGTAAGTAAGACTCGCATTCGCAAATTGCCAAAAGAATCGATTCTTGGCGCCTTAGTGTTAATTCACATTAATCTGTAACAATTAAATGGATCCTGTTCGGTAGAAAATTGTGTATAATAAATACTTGCTCACACCTCATAATTATGTCTCAGGAAAATCAGTGCCAAGAATCACTCGAAAGAGCGACAAACAACTACTAGGTTTATTTGACCCCTTGCCAATGGTTTCAAATTTCGCTGTCATTGTTTCCTTTCTATTTTCCTTTTACTTTCAAATAAATGCTATCGTGAAATTTCTAATATTTGTACATAGACATATATTGTCATTTATAGCTGCGACTTCTGTAATTCCTCGGCACAATTCAATTTTGTTGCAAGTTACCACCATTTAGATTGTTTGATTTGCTGCGGTTACATAACCTAGACAAGTAGCTGTTATATAATTTGACAAGTACACGGAAGATTCGGTCTCATTTTCAACGTAACTTCTAATCGGCATATCTGATTCCTTTAATTTTCATTCTCTCTTACGTTTCTCCTGTCCTTTTGGCAAAAAGTGTTTTCAGTTGCTTTGCATGCCACTCGAATGCATCGAATAACCTCTCGGGACATCTTTCCAAGTACTCTCTTCTCGTTCCGATCTGCCAAGTAAATTAAAACGATCCCACTGTGTTTAATTCTAAGCTACCCTTACGCTGCAAGGTTACCACATTCTGGATTAATTGTTTTCTTTTTATTCTTATAGCAACAATCAGATAGACAGATACGTTCACCGAGAGTAAAATTTGAAAGGGATGTCTCTTTCCCTGCATCACTGTTGCTCCATCCATGCAGACCGATGTTATAGCATTTCCTTAGCTCGTACTTTCGTGTCTTAAATATCTATAAAACAATATTAATATTTACAAACAATAGTAATATTTTAGAATGGAAACTAATTGCCATCAGGTCGTCTCCTTGCAGCGTAACAGTGGATAGTCCCCTCCATCTCTTTGCTACACTTTGATCCCTAAAGTAAAGAAGAGAGAAGTGAATTTTGGCAATTTGTGACTGGTCCGAGAAAGAGAGCACGACGAGAGTAAAAAAAAGAAAAAAGAAAAGAAACGTAAGGAGCGAGTGAGAGTAAGCGAGAAAGGCGACGAGAATTAATGCGAGATCGACGAGTGGCCAGTGACGTTTCGAAAAGCTTACCACGTCGGCGTTTTGTGTACGTATTATTGATACATATCCGATATATATATACATATACCCTAAGACCTTAAGGCACAATACATATACATATATATATCTCTATTTATAATCTGTACAATATTTGATATGATATACGATATCACGAGGAGGGAAAGAGCGAGAAAGGGCGCGAGGGAGAGGGGACTAAGTGTCGAGCTAGGCCGTAAGTTGTCACAATGAAAAATCTTTAATATCTAATTCGGAAACTCTCTACCAACATATCTCATATTGTGATGATGATGGTGTATGTAAAACTTAAGGTGTATGCTGATTGTAGCGTCAGATTGTCATCGCATTGTGTCGTGTCGGGCGGAGAGGTGTGTTGCCGCTCTGTAAGTGAAAAACCAAACAAATCTCTAATCTAACTATTAGAAAGTGTGAGGTCAGGCGAGAAGATGAGAAATAGGAGTAATTAAAGAGACAGGACGCCTCCGTTGTCTCGTGCAATATATATGAACATATATCCTGAGCGTATATATCGATATACATATATATTCATAACGGGGGAGGCAAGGTGGAGGAAAGAGAACGGCGAAGGGAGGTCGTTTATGTGAGGAATATTTCGGGTATCTTTACGGGAAAAGGAGGAAATGTCGAGAGAACCAGGCTCTGGGGACTTGTATAATATATACATACATACATTGTTTATTGTATATATTACCGACGTATCGAGAGAAAGAGAGATCGAGGAAGAGGGCGGAATACGCGCAGGGAGTGAATGCAAATTCATGTAAGACATTGTCTATTTTTTTTTTCTTTTTTGTTCTAAATCCTTTTTTATATAGTTAAGGAGTCCTTTTTGGATTTCTGGAAGCCTGTGTCCTCTCTGGTAGTTGTCGATTGTCTCCGGGAGTTCTCTCGCTGTCGGTGGAACGCAGCTTCTTTTTCTCTCTCTCCTTCTTTTTTTTTACATTTTGTATTGTTTGAGTTTGACCACTTAGCTCTTAACCGTTTATCTGATTTCCTTTCTTTTCCTCTTCTTGGACCTTTGTTATTTTTTTTTTTTTTTGCAATGTGTGTAGATCATTAGGGATATTAAACTATTGCGAGACTGCTCGAGGGGCGAGCTTCGGATTCTTTTTCCACCCTTGTGAAAAACGCTTTCTCGGGGTGGGGAACTCACTCTCTCTCTCGTTAACCATAGGGTCAGGGCTTTTAAAAGCTGTTAGGCTCTCCGTGCATAGATCCTCTAATTCTTCTACGATTTGTGAATCGCAGCGCATGGACCTGGGAGAATGCCCCCAGATTCACGACTTGGCCCTCCGGGCTGACTATGAGGCCGCCCAGAAGAAGAAGGACCACTTCTATGACATCGACGTGAGTATCTCTGACCTGAGAAGAAAAAGAGAGAAAAAAAAAGAAAAGTTAGTTGACTCAAAGAAATATGCCCTGCTACGATGAAATCCTATTTTACCTTTTAACTCATTTTCTTTTCGCAGTGCGATAAAAAACAATGCGAAATATCCCGGGAGTTGGATCAAGGGGGAAAATAGAATGAAATGAGTCGATGCCTTTCCTTTTTTTATATTGCGTATACCTCGCTTAAGGGGGTGCGAAAGCTGAATTGTTCATAAAACTTTTCTACTAACTGGGTGTCTCAAATCGTTTCATACTTTAAAACGTGAATATGGAGACCCTAAGGTAGGTCCTGAAACTCGCGAAATTTCATTTTCTTCAAAACTATTTTTAAAATACCTATAAACAAATATGAAAGGAATTGAAATTTCATGACTTTCAGGACCTTCCTCATAGTCTTCCTATTCACGTTGTGAAGTGTCAAACTATTCGGTAAACCGAGTTGGGAGAAAAGTTCTATAAACGAAACCTCTTCGACGCCACTTTGACACCACCTTAATAATCGAAATCCGTCTTTGACAGGCCATGGAGCATTTGCAGAACTTCATAGCGGACTGCGACCGGCGCACGGAACAGGCGAAACAACGACTCGCGGAGACGCAGGAGGAGCTGAGTGCCGAGGTCGCTGCCAAGGCAAATAACGTCCACGTGCTCGCCGAGGAGATCGGTAAGAAGCTGGCCAAGGCCGAGCAGCTAGGCGAGGAGGGCTTCGTCGAGGAGTCGATGAAGCTTATGGGGGAGATCGACGAGCTGCGCAAACGTAAGAACGAGGCCGAGCAGGAGTATCGCAACAGCATGCCCGCCTCGAGTTACCAGCAACAGAAGCTACGGGTTTGCGAGGTCTGCAGCGCCTACCTCGGGATCCACGACAACGACCGCCGGCTGGCCGACCATTTCGGGGGTAAGCTCCATCTGGGCTTCATCAAGATCCGGGAGAAGCTGGCCGAGCTCGAGAAGACCGTCGAGGAACGGCGCAGGGAGAAGAGGGAGTCGCTGATGGACAGGGACAGGCAGCGCGACCGGGAGCGAGAGGACAGAGAGAGGGACAGGGACAGGGACCGAGATCGGGACCGGGACCGCAGCCGCAGCGGGACCTACAGGGAGCGGGACCGGGACAGGGACAGGGACAGAGACAGGGACCGGGAGAGGGACAGGGACAGGGAGAGGGACCGGGAGAGAGAGCGCAGGGACAGGGACAGGAGGAGGTCCAGGTCAAGGAGCCGCAGCAGAGGGAAAAGGTCCGCAGTTGTTATCGAGTCGTGCACCGAGGAAGGAAAGACATTCATCGGACCGAAGAAATATCTTGACAAATCGATGGAATTACTCTTTAACTTAAATCAATCGTTGTAATTCCGAGGAGAGGCTGTAGCCTTTTCATTGGAATTTATTAGGGTCGAGTAAAATTATTCCTTGAATTAATGAAATGTATTTTCTTTGGTCGAGGAAGCTTTCTTTCCTCTGTCTATGCGTCACGTATCCAAGATGTCTATTGTCAAGTTAATTCCTTGTTGCAGGTCCAGGCGTTCCAGGAGCGGAAGCCGTGGTCGCAGATCTCGGTCTCGTCGCAGCGGATCAACCGATCGTAAGAGATAAAATACAAAGTCATTGTCGAGGTCGGTCACAGACTGTTCGCCGCCACCCGGGCAATCGACACGTACACTCGCCGATGGATAAGCACGGGGAAACTATCCTCCATGGTACTCGTTTCGTCGTGTGTACCTCGCACTGACGCGCCTATCCACTATTGTTACAGGACACTCGCATGTCGCATACTCGATTACAATTTTTTTTTTTTTTAACATTTACACGACACTTTGTTAGACCTTTTACCCGGGGCGGAAACGACCGCACACGGGACAGGCGAACATCCGGTAGTTATTTCAGCTATTCTCTATTCGCAAACGCCTTCGGGTTGTAATCGCGACGTTTAATATTTCTTTCTCTGGTAGTTCTGGAAAATCAATGTGTTGTCAATATTTTTTGTCAGGTGGTGATTGACCCTTTGCATTGTTAACATACGTACGCGAGTACGTATGAGTACGTAGAGGTAGTTATTGCTGGGAAGGACACTATTCGGAGCGCAGTAATGACGTTTCTATTACCGAGTCCTGAGGGACGTTATACGATTTCTCCTCGTGTTTGTATTCGAGTATTTCTTATATAAATATTCTTATATAAATATTACGTTGCCCTTTGGGTCTTGGATTGAATTGAAAATTATTTTTAAAGTGCGTCCAGCGGTGCGAGGAATATTCATAGGACGAGTGTGCACGTGTCGAGGACCGAGGGCGCATTTAATTATCAGAACGGTCCTGAGACTAATTAACTGCATCTGTTTTAACGATTTTAACGAGGTCGATTGTTTCCCGTTGGCATCGAATCGTGTGAAAGAAAAAAAAAAAGTCTACTTTGATATCCTTATCCGCACACAGACGTCTCCAATTAATTGACTATAGTGGCGGGGCTGGGGGAAAAAAAAAAGAAAAGAAAAGGAAATGATAAGGAGAAAGCCCAAATTTTCTCACGACTGTTAATCAAAGTCGAAAGTGCTCGGGTATTTTTTTCTTGCGGTCATTGTTTTTCTTTCTCTCTCTCTCTCCTTTCTTCCCCCGTTTTTTATTATCATTATCCGTATTCCAACTTTCCCTCGTACGAAAGATAAGCTAATATCGGATGTAAATAAGTGTAATTTTTGATCCTCATCTACCTTTGGAAGCAACTGCATTACGATATTTATGGTAAGGTCTAGTTAATTATAGATATTGTACGACTGTACCAGGAATACTTAATAAAAGGCGTATTTCAAGACCATTACATGTCGCGAGGTTTGTCAGGGAGTGTTTTGGAGTATCGTTGGACAGATTAAGAATTTATTTAAATAGTTTGTATTTAGTTTGGAATTGATAGCGAGTATGTTTAAGATTGGTTATTTGAAAGGGTTTCTTTTTATGGAAGGACCTAGGTGGAGGTGAAATTGGATACCTTTATTATTAGAAGTCTCGCAATTTTTTAGTGATGCAAATAAATATATTTATGTATCATTTATTCCCGCAACTTCGTGCAAGACTACAAAATAGTTGAGCCTGATTAGATTTTAATATACATCCGTATTGATTGCCAACTACTTTTATCTCTAAGATAGTCTATGTCGCTTTGAAAATGGCTTTATCAAAAATGTAAAAGACGACGCTATCCCTGTGTAATTAAAAAATAATGGCATTGTATACTAATTATTGATATGTATAAATTTATAATTGATACTCCAACTAGACAGGGTATAGTAACTTGAAATTTTATTTAAAGAGAAAAATGTATGAACACTGCTTAGTCAATCAATTCGTCAGCTACTCAGAATTTGTTTAAAACTTTTAAAAAGTGTTTAGCCTCGACTTCATATTCATGCAAAATCAATTGACTGAAATAGTAAACAGATTTTCAATCTACGAACGGTATTCTTTCGGGATTGTTACAAGCCTATCCTTTAAAACATACTATTGCACCGAAGAATGAATACTATTAGCTGAAGGTAGGAACTTTATAAGAAATGCACTGATATCGGGACTAAACATTAGTCATAAGTTGGATCCTTTTCTGCGATGCGCAGCACTTCTTCAGGCCGATCCAAATCTGTCGGAGATTGATTCTGTCATTGGCACGTTGTTTGCCGTAGACATTAATGTATATTCCAAGAATTACTAACAGCCCTGACCACAAATATTGCCAAGTAAAAGGCTTGTAGAATAGCACGAAACTTATCACAATGGTCACTGCTTTGCGACATGTAGTTACTGTTGCAGCTACGAAGGCTCCACAGCACTGGACGAGTGTTAACACTATTTGGATACCAAAGTATCCGGAGAGTGAAAACAGGAGACCATAGCCATATGTCTCCAGGGGATGCTATAAAGAAAATTATCAATTACATACTCTATATCAAGGAACGACTTAAACTCGGTACTAGCATATATTTCTTACCTTGGCACAAAATGTTGCACCCTTAACTATATTCTCCGTGAATAGGAGAATTATAAATAAGTATAAAAATCCTATGCTGTAGGAGTAAAGTACGACCTCTGTATTTCCAGCCTTGTACTGGCGCATTGCCTTCTCTTGTAAGTTGCCAATGAGTGCGTCGCAAAGCAGGGCACAGCTGATCATTATCACTCCGACTAGATCGAACCTTGGGGAAATTATGCTATCTGTCAAAGTAAAGAGCACCAGCCCGATGCACATCAAGCTGGCAGCTATAAAATCTAGTACCCCGTACTTCTTTTTTTGTATCAGTATACTGCCGATTAGCACCGGAATAAGTTTGCAGCACTTGAATATTACCTATGTTGAAGTTTATTTCATTTATTTCATTTTCGAGGAGTGAACAAATTAAAACCACTAACCTGAGTCGGATAATTAAGGTAGCCAAGCGACGAATTGGAAAAGCCCATCGTACCCAACGTGAGGACTGCTAATAGTAGATAAGTACCCATCGGTATTCTTCTTCTTATTCCTCTGAAGAGACATTCTAACCATCCGAAGACTGTGTAGTAACCAAATTGAATAAGTGTCAAGTACCATCCGAATGGTCTAAATCCATCGAGCGTGAATATCAATTCCTAATTAAAGTTAATGTTAAATCAGTGCTACGTAATTATATTTGATCCATTACCATTACCGAGGGAAAATTTGTATTTAATTATTAGTAGCTATTGATAAAAGCTTCTAAGTAATTTCACATGTTGAATGTTAATTAAATGGATAAATTTGTACCTGCAGGTATCCGTAGAGCAAGAACAAGCAGAATACTCCAAAACTGCACCAAAAAAGCTGCAGCTTGGTACTACAGTTTGTCAGGTCAAAGCAGAATAACTTAATTTCTTGGGTCTTTTTGACATTCCTGGGATCGTCTTTTAAAAAATTATTAGGTGTAATGCCAAATGACAGAGTAAATCAAATGAAATTACAATCTTTTAATTTCATGGGTTAATGCATGAGAAAGGTACTCAAAGGTAATTACTAAGTTTAATAAGCTTACGCTACCAGTAGCAAAAGTATTTAAATGTATTGCGAACGGTAAAACATAAGCACCGATAGTAATAAAATTATGTCAATTTTATAAGGATTTAAAGAGTTATTGTTGTATGATAAAAACAAGTAAATATTTTCGTACCGACAGGCACGTAAACTTCTTTGAGGGACATTCTACCCTTCGGAGCCGAACTCCTGGCACTTCTACTCCATCTTCGTCGAAAATTCACCGACAATGCGAAACGACTGGTAAGTCATTTGTTATACTTTATCCTAAACAGTATTATAAGTATTTAGAACACCTTAGCCACGTATTTCTTCGGTATTGTGGCGAGTGAACATTGAAATGTTTAAAATACCAAGTGTTGACAGTTAAGGCCAGTCCCCCTGAGCGGCGTGGCTCCAACGGAAATAACCAATCACGTATCAAGAAGCTTTTACTAATCCAACGTTTAAACCTGCTGTAGATTACTTTAACTCCGATTAACTTGAATTGTGGAACCGGATCTAAACAGTTAAAGTCAGTCCCCTCCCGAGAGTGGCGGGTCCAACGGAAATGACCAATCACGTATCGAGTAACTTCTACTAATCCCACGTTTAAACCTGCTGTAAGCCGGTTAAAGTTAAACTTCGGTTAACCTGAATTGTAGAACCGGGCCTAAAAAGTGTCAAATATTACTCATAGGTCGACAAAGCCTTTTATTAGTTGAGAAATTCAATATGGCGTCACTTCCCATCACCGGTACTTTGTATCGATCGACCCGTCGAAAACGTCACGTCCGTTTCCGGTTTCGAGATCAGTGAGTCCACCACCATCTTGTCCTCACTTTGATCGGGCGTCTGGAGGGATACGTTGCGGTTACGTCGTGATATCCGCACCAATCGGCGGATTTTCTGCGTTAAATCGGCCAGTTAAGGTGAATTATTATTTAATACATTGCCTTAGAATACCTAGAATAAATATTTTCGGCATTTTGTCTGGGGTATTTTGTAATAATTTAAATCTAAATATTGGCATCCATTGAGCTTGTTACTCGTGCGTGTTTTCCTCAGGTTTGAAAGTGCGATATCAAACCAGTATTACCGTTTTATAGATTGCTTATATTTAATTAAACTCTGACTGTGCAATACTATAATTTTGAAATGTAATTTGGGTGGAATAATCAACTTTTAGAGGTAGGAAACTCGAACTTAACCCTAACCCTATTTTGGATTGTATGAAGAATGGACTCTTCTTTTTTTTTTCAGAATGGCTGCTTAATTCAGTTGGGAGATAGCTGAAGTGTGTTGAAAAGGTTCAACAGCCGCCAAGATGTATCTGTATAATTTAACGCTTCAGCGTGCCACGGGCATAACACATGCCGTCCATGGAAATTTCTCTGGTAGCAAGATGCAGGAAATCCTCGTGTCGCGTGGGAAGTCATTAGAGCTTCTACGACCAGATCCAAATACAGGAAAAGTTCATACCCTTCTAGCCGTCGAAGTATTTGGAATAGTAAGATCCCTGATGGCCTTTAGGCTCACAGGTGGAACGAAAGATTACATCGTCGTAGGATCAGACTCGGGCCGTATTGTGATATTGGAATATATTCCTGCTAAAAACATGTTTGAGAAGGTTCACCAGGAAACCTTTGGAAAAAGTGGATGCAGAAGAATCGTACCTGGCCAATATCTAGCAATTGATCCCAAGGGTCGTGCAGTCATGATTGGTAAATAATTGATTTGAATTTTTATCCCTTAAGTAGGAAATGTACCATATGATGACTTTCCGTGTTTCACCTGAATATCATTGATTACAATAGTGATTATAACTGATGGTATATATTATTAAGAAACAATTAATAATCTTTGTAAAAGAAAGTCCTTAATGCATTGTATTTAATTACAGGTGCCATTGAGAAGCAGAAACTTGTATATATTTTAAACAGAGATCCCGAGGCTCGACTTACAATCTCTTCACCTTTGGAAGCTCATAAGAGCAATACTTTAGTGTATCATACAGTCGGTGTTGATGTCGGTTTTGAGAATCCAATGTTTGCATGCCTTGAGATCGATTACGAGGTATAGATACTCCCAATTTATTTTTATATAACAGAATGAATATCGCTTATGAAAATTCATTAAACCATTCATTCATTGAATAGGAAGCTGACGGTGATCCAACTGGCGATGCAGCAGTTAGAACGCAGCAAACACTTACTCTTTATGAACTTGACCTGGGTCTCAACCATGTAGTAAGGAAGTACAGTGAACCTTTGGAAGAGCATGCAAATTTTTTGGTTTCGGTACCTGGAGGTAATGATGGACCTAGTGGCGTTTTGATCTGTTCAGAGAATTACTTGACATACAAGAACTTAGGAGATCAGCACGACATCCGCTGTCCTATCCCTAGGCGAAGAAATGATCTCGATGATCCAGAGCGTGGAATGATATTCGTATGCTCTGCTACTCATAAGACTAAAAGTATGTTCTTCTTCCTGGCACAAACTGAGCAAGGGGACATTTTTAAGATTACTCTAGAGACCGACGAAGATATGGTCACTGAAATCAAATTGAAGTACTTTGATACAGTACCAGTAGCTACCAGCATGTGCGTATTGAAAACTGGCTTCTTGTTCGTCGCCTCTGAGTTTGGAAACCAGTAAGTATTTGATTTTTCTTTGTAGAATTTTTTTTCAGATTCTTATTGCCCAATATAGGATGGAAAATATTGAATGTTGGTTTTGATTCATCTTTCAGTTATCTGTACCAAATTGCTCATCTTGGTGATGACGACGACGAACCAGAGTTTAGCTCAGCTATGCCACTGGAGGAAGGCGATACGTTCTTCTTTGCCCCAAGACCGCTAAGAAATTTGGTGCTAGTCGATGAAATGGACAGTTTATCACCTATTATGACTTGTCAGGTGAGTTAAATATCGATTAATTATCTGCATCATCAAGTAGGGGACTGACTTGCTCTCGTCCTTCCTCTGTGAAATGATGCAAAAGAAAATAATTCTTCGTCGCCTTTGACTCATTTTTTTTAGTGTGATTCAAAGTGAAATCGAAGAATAACAGTTTTCTAACACGTGAAATAATATCCTTTGTATTACATATGTTTTACCACTGCGATGTCATTTATAATTGACAGGTTGCTGACTTGGCAAATGAAGATACACCGCAACTTTACATGACTTGTGGTAGGGGTCCTAGGTCTACGCTGCGAGTTCTACGACATGGTTTAGAAGTCTCTGAAATGGCCGTCAGTGAACTCCCTGGCAACCCGAATGCTGTGTGGACTGTCAAACGAAGAGTGGATGGTTAGTTTATCGTCACAGCCATCATTTTACATAGCTTGCAATGCTACCATTCTCTTTCTTTATCGAAGTTCAGTTTTTATTTATTTTTTTCACTAAGAGCTTAATTTAAGCATGATATCACACGAATTCCTTGACAATTATACGCGATCAAAGAGCGTTTTCGATGCATGGTTTCTAGAACATATTTTAATTTTCATCTCGTACTCTACGGTAAATTTCTTGCTTTGAAAGTCATCACTGAAGCAACGATGGCATCGAAAAAAAAAATTGTCATAAGGAAATGATAACAAACCTGGTGGCTTGATACACTTTTATCAAACACCAGTTCTCTCTTTCAGGCTACCCGCAGACTTACTGGTCCATCGACTGCTGCTGAAACGGTAAAAGGTAAGAGATTGGTTCGATCGGTCCCATCGAAGAGTCTGGCTAGCTTCCTAGATCGCTCAACCGATACCTTACACTACGTGGGATACAAAAGCCCACAACCTGACGGATATTGACAGGAGACTGTAGCCACCTCCTGTCTAGGCTTTTCAGTCTCTACTTTTATTTTAAATATATAATTCGGACGAAGGTTTTTGATTTTCGGTTGCAGAGGAATATGATGCGTACATCATAGTCTCCTTCATCAATGCCACTCTGGTGCTTAGTATTGGTGAGACCGTCGAGGAGGTAACTGACTCTGGATTCCTCGGTACGACACTGACATTGAGCTGTTCTGCCCTCGGAGAAGATGCTCTGGTTCAGGTGAGAAAATTCACTAAGTATGACTCATTTATTAATTAAGGAATGCACTGCGGTATCTACGGTGCCTGGTCCTCCGCGCATCGTTCGCTTAAACAGTGCAAAAATAACGTAGAGTTTACGCATCGTTGGAGTGCTCGGATAAAGTCTGTGCACTCCTGGTATATCGACTCCGACAATTCTACTTCGATAAATTATTTGTTACGATGAGTTTAATTTCTGTGTCGGAGTTCTGGTTGTTTACTGTTCTATTATTTTCTCAGGTCTATCCTGACGGTATACGTCATATTCGAGCCGACAAAAGAGTCAACGAATGGAAGGCTCCTGGAAAGAAGACCATTGTCAAGTGTGCCGTCAACCAGCGACAGGTTGTGATAGCACTAACTGGAGGCGAACTGGTCTACTTTGAGATGGACCCTGTAAGCTGCATTGATGTCCTAATTAAAATAGTATTACAATGGAATTATTTTTCTATTCCAAATTCGCATGATTGTTCACTCTGTGAATACTTTATCGATTTTCGGAGTGGTAATTCATGCGTATAGCGAATGACTCTTGTCGCCTTTGGTTGATATTAATTTTCAGTCGAAGTGAAACGAGAGGCAACAAATTATATTAATGTAAAAAAAGAAATACTGTTTCAAAATTTATTCATCCTGTAATAGAAATATTATTTTCTAGACCGGTCAACTAAATGAATACACCGAGAGGAAGAAGATGCCTTCGGAGGTGATGTGCATGGCCCTTGGGAATGTAGCTGTTGGAGAGCAGCGATCTTGGTTCTTGGCTGTTGGTCTTCAAGACAATACAGTCAGGATTATCTCGTTGGACCCTTCGGACTGTCTGGCACCGAGGAGCATGCAGGCATTACCAGCTGCTGCAGAGAGTCTCTGCATCGTAGAAATGGGTGCAAAGGATTCTGACAACAACGAAGATGCTGCACCGCAGCAGTCCAGCCTGTACCTGAATATTGGTGAGACGTCCTATTATTTTACCTTTTTCATTTATTGTAAACGAGGGTACATAAAAATACTTCTCTCTATTTTAAATGATGATTCAAACACAGGCCTGATAATTAACTGACGATATTCCTGCAGTTCTGACACTGTCTTTAACTATGTTAATAAAAGTGATTCCATCGGGTGATGGTATTGACTATTTGGTATTTATTTAACAGGCCTGCAAAATGGAGTTCTGCTGCGAACAGTATTAGATCCTATCTCAGGAGACCTGGCCGACACCCGGACCAGATACTTGGGGTCTCGACCGGTGAAACTATTCAGGATTAAAATGCAAGGCAACCAAGCAGTGCTCGCGATGTCGAGTCGGTCCTGGCTGAGCTACTACTACCAGAATCGCTTCCACCTAACTCCGCTATCTTATGAAAGTTTGGAGTTCGCCTCGGGCTTCAGCTCGGAGCAGTGTCCCGAAGGCATCGTGGCCATCTCCACGAATGCCTTGAGGATTCTGGCCCTCGAGAAATTGGGAGCCGTCTTCAATCAAGTCAGCTTCCCCTTGGAGTACACCCCGAGGAAATTCGCCATACACCCGGACTCGGCGCATCTCGTCGTCATCGAGACCGAGCACAACGCTTACACCGAAGAGACGAAGCAGCAGAGGCGCCTGCAGATGGCAGAAGAAATGCAGGAGGCTGCAGGAGCGGAAGAGGCTGCAGTAGCTAGGGAACTGGCTGAGGCTTTCCTTTCGGAGGAGCCCAACGAGGCAGTGTTCGGTGCACCTAGGGCTGGCCCTGGCTTGTGGGCTTCGCTGATCAGGATCATCGGACCCACCACTGGCCAGACCTTGGAAGTGCATCGACTAGAACAGAACTATGCAGCTCTGTGGTAAGTCTCTCTTTCTCAGTGCTCCGACACTGTTCTTACAATTTAGAATCTTGGATAGAACACTTTACATTAAATGATGAAACATCATGCACCACTCTGAGTACTGATGTTAATTCAAAACCTATACTGACATTGACCAATCACCTGTGTCTCCATTGATTGTATTATTCGACGTGTTAATTTTGGTTAAAAATATTTTTCCAGTCTCAGTCTGGTGCGATTTGCCAATCATGGCGACAGCCAATTCCTCATTGTCGGCGTGGCAAAGGAGTGTCAGCTTAATCCGAGAGTTAGCAACGGCGGATTTCTGTATACGTACAGGTGACTATAGAATATTGTTTAAATAATTGTTATCTAATGGTATAATCAAGACTCTTTGGGACTTGTAACTATTTTATTTCCTTCGCAGAGTCAACGGTGACTGCACAAGCATCGAGCTCATACACAAGACGGTACTCGATGAGGTGCCTTTAGCGATTTGTCCCTATCAGGGTCGCGTTCTAGTAGGCGTGGGGAGGATGTTGAGACTCTACGACATGGGGAAGAAGAAATTGCTGAGGAAATGCGAGAATAAGCACATCCCAAATGCCGTGGTGTCTATAAACGCGGTTGGCCAGAGGATTTATGTAAGCGACGTCCAGGAATCCGTTTATGCTGTCCGATACAAGAGACAGGAGAACCAGTTGATCGTATTCGCGGACGACACGCACCCCAGGTGGATCACTACGACCTGTGTCCTGGACTACGACACGGTTGCCACCGCGGATAAATTTGGAAATATTGCTGTGGTAATTATCCGTTTAGTGATTATCTATCGGTTAGATATTTTGTACAAATCAGTTGATCAATTCCCTTGGCTTTCCGGGTCATCAGATAAGGCTAGCCAGTGGAATTAACGACGACGTGGACGAGGATCCAACTGGGAACAAGGCTCTTTGGGACCGAGGACTGCTCAACGGAGCCAGCCAAAAGGCTGACACCGTAGCCTGTTTCCACATCGGAGAGACTGTGATGTCCCTGCAGAAGGCTACGCTGATACCTGGTGGCTCGGAGAGTCTTGTCTACACAACCCTGAGTGGAACCGTCGGAGTCCTGGTGCCATTTACCAGCCACGAGGACCATGATTTCTTCCAGCACCTTGAGATGCACATGCGCTCGGAACATCCTCCACTCTGTGGAAGGGATCACCTTTCTTTCCGTTCTTACTATTATCCCGTGAAGAACGTCATCGACGGTGACCTGTGCGAACAGTTCAACTCCATCGAGCCGGCGAAGCAGAAGAGTATATCCGGAGACTTGGAGAGAACCCCTTCGGAGGTGTCCAAGAAGTTAGAAGATATCAGGACGCGTTATGCATTCTAAGGAGGCATCGCTCGTAATTGTTTAACGTTTCTATGGGACCTCTGGAATTTGTTCGAAGGGAAACGGAGGACCCGAGGATCCACAATGTTCACTGTTGTAAACTGCAGAACGAGGGAAACTCGCGCGCACTCGATTGCGTCCTATCATCGTGTTTCATGTTTTTTTTTTTTAATTTTTCATAGGAGCACATTCGTGTCGTCATTGTAAATAGCAGGATATCATGATTAGCCTTATACAAGACTTGTTTTCGCGTTCTGGGAGTTATCCAATTCTCTTGTATTCCCCGGAGGTATTAATTTATATCCCCGAAATTTGGAGTAATTAAATGTTAAGATCAGTGATGGAGGATTAGGATTTAAATCATCTTGCAACTTTATTATCACTGGACCACGGATAACGCCGATACTCTGGTATTGAAAAGAACGTGATAAATAATACGAATATTTCATGAGAGAAAAAAACATGTAGTATATAGTGTGTTCCGATTACGTGTAAGTAGGTTTACGTTGTATTTATTGCTGCAATTTTCCAGGCGAATAAACCCTCGACTTTTCTAAACGTTGTTCACTGTTTTTTATACGTACTCATGCGGTGTAATGTGTACATGAAAGGTGACTAATTATTTATCGTGAATAATATTTTATTTCGCACAAAATCTTTGATACAATTCTCTAATGTGCAATCTTCGGTAACAAATATTACGCATATAGTACACCGTAGACTGGGTATGTATAATTTGTTGAGTAATTACGTTTCAATTTCTAATCAAGCATAACATCGGATGTGTATCGATATCCACAATTGTTCGGTGTTCATAATATATGCGTGACAAATTTGTACAGCAATCTTACACGTTTACAGGAATATATGTACAAGACTTATTCGTATTAATTTTTAGGAATGAGTTGGAGGCTCTTGCGAAGGATTTTTTTTTTCATTAACTGCTTACCCTCTACCTCGCTATTCCTGTATTTGTATTTAAAAAATATACACTTACAAGTAGATTACACACTGCCTTATAAAGGGGAAGAGTCTAAGAAATGCCTGCAGCATTTTCAGATAGTAATTGGTAATTTTGGTAACGTAGCTCCCTTTTCGAATCTGTACAAGATTATGTTTATAACGAAGCATTTACAACTAGTTGGCTTCAGAAAGCGGGGCTAAGTTCTTAGCTAATTCAACAATACATTTAACTTGCTTATCATTACGAGATGTCGATCGCAGTTTCGTTAACGTAAATAATTAAATATACAAAGTATTAAAAATCTAAACTACGAGTAAAGTGAGGTTAAGTTGAGTGTCACGAATGTCCTATTTGAACGTGGAAGATATTGAGTGTTTTCGAAAATTGACCTTGTATGGGAAAATTTAGGGTTCTTTCCGTTATTTTGTGCTGTTTTTTTACGAAAGAAAGAGAGAGGGAAAAAATAGATACGACGTTCGACGATTACAGAGACCGTCGTGACGACGTGGAGAGGAAATTGTATGAAAGACATCGGTGAGCTAACAAGCTGAGGTATTCCTCTAGAATACCGTAGCTACGAAGAACATATTCCATACAACTAAATCGGATTTGCAACTGCGATGTTTATGTACAGAATTATTACATCTATTAGCTACGATGAGTGAGATCATGCACACATTGAAAGGAATAATCTTGTAAAATTATGAGTTATCGAGTGGTGGGACAACATCTTGCAAAATTGGTTATTAATTAAATTACGACGAAGTCTTGCTTAAATTTAATACAATTTTTTAAGCACGGCTAAAAATTCTTTCGCTTAATTGAATTTGTTCGGATGATTCAACTATTTGTTTCGCACTGTGTTCTTTTTCTGTCAACGGTCTCTCGATTTGTTCGATCTCTAAATCAGTCTAGTAGAAAGTCGTCAAAGAATTTCATTTCCGCTGTCGGGTTTACCTTTCTACTTTTTATTGTGCCAACCACTTGATATCAAAAGGATTTCGAAATCATTTGCCACGATATTCACCGATGAAAAACTGGAAAAAGTGACCATATCTAGAATCGCTTAGTTCAGTCTTCATACATCCGTTGATATCACCCTATCACCTTCGAGTTGGCCTCTCACTTAATTACAGAAATACATTCAAACCGACAAATCAAATTTACAGATACATATAAATGAATCCAATATAAAATCACTAAGTTGATATCTGACATCCTAGTATGTCAAAATACATTTGTACAATATACCATAAACTAAATAAAAGGCTACTATCGTCTTCCAGTAGACAGAGATGAGCTAATTATAATTAAATTGACAATTGCATTATTTCCTACCTAAAGTAAATTTCCAATTGCTTATGAGTTCACAATTTACATCGATAAAAAAGTATTTGAACAGAATGACGTGGAAAAGACTGACGAGGTAAATGTAAAATAATTATTTTTACATATCTCTGTGGATGGTGAGTGGGACGTAGTTAAAGAGTTGCCAGAATTCGAGTAAATCCAACGCAGGCTGCCATGACTGTCTGTCCGATACCCCATAAAAGAGCATACAGAGGTGGCATTTGATAACCTGTTGCACGATAAACAAATGCTATCACAGCTGAACTTAACACTCCAAATGTCAACGGCATTATCACACCCATTATGAGGATCAGAATGGGAAAGAATCTGAAAAGATATAGCTTGTATCAGGTCATGCAAAGAAATTGAATCAATTGGCTTTTTATTTATTTGTGGGGTTTCCATTATATATGTGTGTGTATATGACTCACTTTCCGTATTTATGCTTTCGCAGTGTGGCAAAGCAAATTGCTGCAGCGATTGTATGAACAAATATCGATGAGAATAACGCCCACAGGAATATCTGATACCACATCTCTGCAATAATGTACATATTATTAGTATTCGTTACCATCGCTGCTCTTTATCACACTTAAGCTAATCTCTTGTATGGGTGGCAGCACTCTTGAATTCAGGGAAATTAATTTTTTCCTTTATCCTTTCAATAATTCAGACACTAAATAAAGGTTTATCTAAGCTAGATGTAAGTTCAGATTTGGTTATTCATTAATATTATAAAAATGATTATCTGCGGGTTATTTGCAAGCTACCTTGGGTATGTATGTATGTATTAAAGAAAAACACGATCGTGATGCGTATTTTAAATGTTATAAATTATGTTAATACAATAAAGTTTACAAGTTAGTAATTCTATTATGAAGACAAAGTTCATGCAAGCATTCTAAGTCTCCTTGTGAAAGGAAGTATCGTGCAGATCCATCTAATTCCCAAATGCTTTCGTTCGATAAGCTCTACTGGCTTCCACAGTGTTCAGCAGTCTTCTTCAAATGTAGAATATAATGCGGTAGGAATCTTCCTCGAGTCGCTACTTTACTTTAGCGTGCAATCGATAAATGAAAATTTACGTACCAGGAAATGACCTCAGGCTCATGGTCGTTGCTCTTTTCGGGAGCCAAAAGGGAAAGGATTGCATCGACTTAAGAACAAATGGCTAGACAACATGAATATCTTGAGAAGGGGCGACGAAAGATCCACCAGTCAGGGCGGATCGAGAGTCGAAGATAGTCGACGGAAATGTCTCGTCAGGACTGTAACGTGGTTACGATCTAAGTTGCAACCTCTAAGAGCGAGCATTGTATGCGACACCATAGGTTAAAAACAAACGACACAGGGATTAACCAAGGCCAGACATCGAAGGGCAAGGTACAGACCGGCGAACGAAGCCAGCGGCATGTAGAAGGCACCGACGTTTAGACTTCTGAGGCCTGACTGCGGATGGTACGCTGCACCATTTAATCGTCCGCCATTCATCTCCTGAACTCAACCCTCCTGGGGTACGGAAGCCACGGACCACCGGTCTGGGCATCCGTTATGTATTGCTTCCGAGAAGTCTCATTACGGCAACTTGGCAGCCATTCTCTGGAAATTCAATCGTTGATTAAACTTATCAGACTTCAAGCTATTCCCAGTAACGAATCGTCCACATAATGATCATATACATGAGATAAAGTAAAAGCAATCGACAAGAACCTCTTGAAGAAAAAATCTTTGGTACAGGGAACTTTAATACAACATAAATACCTTGAACTTTGATCGGTCCATTACGGTACGCTAGCATCGTTAATCGACCTTACGAAGGATCCGAAAAATCGCGATGTAATCACCGAGGACAGCCACATCGCGTTCTTATTCCTGATAAGCGATCATAGGTCGTCGTTGCACAGGTCTGCGTCTTCTACCCGAGGCGTAATGGATTCCACGAAAGCCGGACAGATGGTAGTTTGTATATCCAGAATCAGTGAAATCATTTACCAGACAACGCTACGTCAGGTAACCTATCATACCTAGTAAACTCGGGAACAGATTGGTCGTTTCAGCGCGAGATGGCGCCACTGTCGTTCGACACATGTGGTAATCTGGCGAACAGTTTGGACGGTTCTTCGCAAGATGGCACCACCATCGCTTGGCCAGGCGAGCCGTTAGTGGCGGCATTTTGCATTAATTCCCTCTACCTTTGGCAAGAATCTAAATTAATCTGTCTAAATTACAAATGTCAAGGCACGGAGGAAGAAGAAGTGTTCCTTGTCGGTCGCTTTTTAGCAGACTTCTGACGGGGCCGCTCTGTAACTCCGAGGTGAGGCTTAAAGGATCTCTAAAGTCGCGTCGCGGTGCCGGCAGCCAATCGGCGGGACGGTTTCTTTTGTGCCGGGCCAATCCAATTAAACCGGCCCCTTTTCTGCCGGTTTTTCCTCCACGACGCTTATGTAACGAGGCGGAGCGGAAGCGTCTGCGAAAGACGCGTCTCCGTATCGACGCCCCAGGGTGCACCTGACACTCCGGAACGCGTCGGGACGCTCCTCGCGATCGCTTGTCGCCGACAAACGGCGGCGCACTTTTCCCGCGCGTTGAACGCGCCATTTTTATTTTTATTATTTTCTTTTTTTTCCCGAATAATCCGGGACACATCCAGCAAACTGGATCGAGAAAAATGTAGTCCTAAAATAGGCGCACAAGGAACATAAACAACGGTGAAATTAAAAAAAGAAAAATTTTCACTGAACCAAGGAGATAGTAGAATCATTATTTCAATTGAATAAAAATCATCAGAATTACGAGGAATCGTTCAATCCTATTTATTTCTATTTATTCCGGGCAGATAATTATCCTTCTTGATAAGGAATTATTTCTTTGGTTCAAATGACATTTTTTCCCCTCGAGGTAGAGACATTACAATTGTAGGTAAAAATATACAATTTGCAATATCTTCCTTCTACCTGATCTAAAAATAATCTGCATATCTAAAAATTATAAATTTGATGTTCGAAAGTCATTTGGTGCGCATCGTTTGCACATTTTTTAGATGAGTTTTTAATTCTGACGATCGTTTACGTTCATATTACAATTTTAGATAAAAATGTATATTATTATCTAAAATGTTGTAATATTTTCTTTCTACAGTCCTGCTATATGTTGTGTTATATGCGTAGAGGCTGGAGCTTATCTTACAACTGTGTGGTATGCAGGGAAAACAATTTCACTCCGAACGTTCCATTGTTTACATCTCGAGCACCTTCGGCCTAACTCAAGGTAAGAGCCTTCACTTTGTCTCTGACCGTCTCAGAGGGCGGTCGTTCCGCATCGTGCTCGGACGTAATCGGTATCCGAATTTTTATTACGTAGATTTTCGCGAGTGCAACTTAAATTCGACACCGGTTCCTGTTATCGCACCTTCGACGTCTACCAAGGATTCGACCGCCACCATGACGAAGGCTATTGTTTTAAGAACAAGTAAGTCCATTACTTATCTTCCTTCGACCCTCCCTCCTCCAGTGTGCCGCAATAATAAAAATGAGGCAACATTTATTCAGAATTATAATATGTTCATTGGTGTGATATAAGCATATATAAGCATTGTTATAACAAGGCTATTGTTTTAAGAAAAAGTAAGTCCATTCCTTTTTTTTTTTCGAGATCGCTGCGATCATAAAAATGATGCAACATTTATTCAGAATGATAACACGTTCATTGGTGTGATATAAGCATATATAAGCATTTTTATAGCACGGCTATTGTTTTAAGAACAATGATGCAATATTTATTCAGAATGATAACATGTTCATTGGTGTGATATAAGCATATATAAGCATTGTTATAGCAAGGCTATTGTTTTAAGAACAATGATGTAACATTTATTCAGAATGATAACATGTTCATTGGTGTGATATAAGCATTGTTATAGCAAGGCTATTGTTTTAAGAACAATGATGCAACATTTATTCAGAATGATAACATGTTCATTGGTGTGATATAAGCATTGTTATAGCAAGGCTGTTGTTTTAAGAATAAGTAAGTGTAACGAGTGCCAAAGTAATATCATGGCAATTCCAAGAGTACTCAAATTCGAATAAATTGAATGCAACATGTATTCGGAATTGCCGAATTTCGATTTTTCCTTGCAACGAGTACCAAAGTAATATCATGTCAATTCCAAGAGTACTCAAAGTCAAATAAATTGAATGCAACATGTATTCGGAATTGCGGAATTTCGATTTTTCCTCGCAAAGAGTGTCAAAGTAATATGACGCCAATTCCAAGAGTACTCAAACTGAAATAAATTGAATGCAACATGTAATAGGAATTGCTGAATTTCGCTTTTCCTTGTAACGAGTACCCATGTAATATCACGTCAATTCCGAGAGTACTCAAACTCGAATGAATTGAATGCAACATGTAATAGGAATTGTTGAATTTCGATTTTTCCTTGCAACGAGTACCAAAGTAATATCACGTCAATTCCGAGAGTACTCAAACTCGAATGAATTGAATGCAACATTTATTCGGAATTGAATTTCGATTTTTTTTCTTTTTTTTTTCCGGGGAACGAGTCGACGCGGAGTCGGCTCGATTTGCCTTGGGTCAATTCGTTAGGGGTCAGGGTACGCCGGGTGGGGAATCTCCTGAAGATTTTAGAGGCAATTTAGCCCCGACAATGGTCCGCACCCTTCCTCGAGGGGCGACTTGCGTGCGAGTCTCGAGCCCTCTTGTCTCGCCCTTTGAAGGGTCGAGGACCTGGACCGCGTCCGCGGAAAACCGCGGACAAGCCGCGAAGGGGCCCCCGTTATTTATTTTTCCGCACGTTTGACCGCGGCGGAAAACCGCAACGAGGATGGGGACGGAGAAACGAGGCGACCCGGATCCTACGGCCGGAAGAAACGGAAAGCGATTAATAACTGACCTCGGGGGGAGAGATCGAACATCGCGCGGGGGGANCCGCAGGCGAAGATCCGATCAGTTGATACCGGGACTCGAAGGGCCGCTTTTAAATGGCCCCGAATCGATATCCCTATCGGAGGGTGAAATCGCGGGACGGTATTATTTTTTTTTTTTTTCCTTAAACTAATTCCGAATTTCCTTCCTCTTGACGACGATGACGGATCGATGGAATGGATCCCGAAGAATTTCGCGGCGATCCTTTGGCCCCCTTTTTCCCCGGGAATTAACGGGCCGATCCATCCCATCGGCTTCCTTATGAATACAAACGTTTCCGGGAAGAGGCTCGCAGGGTGGAGGCGAATTCATCCCCCTTGGGCTGCGCATAGATTAAAATTGATGACTGCAGACCCCCAAACTCCCGATCCAAGTGGCGCCCGTCGTCGCGTCCTTGTCGCGCGCCCTGCCCGCGGTATGGCTCTCTCTCTTTTCCTCCTTCACAGTACCTACGGGTAACCCACCCGCGAGCGGGCTCGAGCGGCAATGGGACCTGGTCATTCCTGATAAAAAGTATATCTTTTCCTTTGGTTCTTCTCTCGGATAAATACATTTCTCTCGAGATATGAAATCTTCCCGAGTTTCAGGTCCTTCATTAGGATCCCCATGATACAGGGTTAAAGCTCGAAATTATTCGGTGCACCTTGTTTGGAGAATAGTTATATCAATATTTTGACTTTTTGCTGTGTATATATATTTGGTATATATACATGAATATGATTATTATGTACGATGGGAACGCGTGTGCCATCACGCGACACCTGTATACTGTCTGGTCCACATGGAGCCGAGCACTTGGGCCGTAATAAAGTGTTCTTCTTCTTCTCCTTCTTCCTCTTTCCGTCGAGCAGCGTCTTCTTCCCAATTTTTCTTTTCACGCCGTTCGATCAACCGTGCTCGATAGGTCGGCTCGATCCAGAAACTAGGAATTTCTGACGCACCCGGGACGCGCCTCGTATCCAGTATTTTCACCTTATCGGATCCCCTCCGGGTGCGAGAGGGTCCTCGAGAGGGAAGAGTTATCCCGGTGGGGGGTAGGGAGGCGAGAAGTGCCTTCGGAAAATTCGCACCCTCTTCCTCTCCTCGTCCTTCGCAGCCTCCCGCGGTCCCTTTCGTTGAAATTAGTTCGAGAATCCATTTACACATTCCGCAGGAGGTCGGGGCATCGTTCCGCTCGGTTTTCCCCGTTTTCCCCGTTTTTCCGATAGCTACCCCCGGGCCCCCCCCTCTCCGAGGAAAAACAGATCCCTCTTAATAACCGGGAGCACCGTCGAGAACGAGAGGATCTCCGATAAGTCCCTCGGGAGACTCCTACGACGGAATCCCCGAACTTTCTTACCATTAGGTGGGGAACTTTCCCCCGGGACTCCTCTCCCTCCCCTCGTCGATGATTCCTCCGGAAATCGGGAGAAAAAGGACAACGGATAGGGAGGGCGAAAATCCTCCAATGGTCGCACATGAGGGGCGCCCTTCCACCCCGAGGAGAGGAGAAAAAGTGCATGAGCCCGGAGAGGTTAAAAGGATAACCCTGAGAAATGAGGAAATTTTGCACCGACCCGGGGAGACGTTTCTT